TGAATACACTTTAATTGGAGAGGGAATCGGTGCAATTAGGGATACTTTAGGGAGTTTATACCATTTTGAGGGCCCATAAATGCATAACTTTACATCTGTTTAGACTCTAACTTTTAATTGGAATAATTTTGTATTAAAATAAAAATCCAATAAGTAATAACCAAGTAACCAAAAAGTAATTACTTTGTTTAATGTGTTTTAAAAATTTTAAATATCTTTATATATAAAATATATAAAATCTATTTATTTTGTTTTACTTTTACCTAATATTACTTTTTATTTACATCTGTTTAGATTAGCACTTTTAATTGTAATAATTTTGTTAATAATTTATTCTTAACTAATTAGTAATTCTATGTTTATAAACTATTTATTTTCTTTTACTTTTACTTAAAATAAGTAAAGCTTTAATTCTAGTTCTTTTTATTATTTTGGGTGATGAAATCCTTAGATACCAACAGTTTTAGGCGCTTCAAGGCAAGTTCTTTAGCAAAGTGGAGATATCCTTAGTTAGGAACAGTATACCAGCGATAAGAACATCGCATCGAAGTGGGTGTTGCTGGCGGCTGCTACCACTCGAACCCATTGACGCCTCTGCCTTTGCATTGGGTCTCTTGCTGGCTATCATCGCCTCTGTGCTCCGAACTCCCATTCCCCCAATCAAACCCACCAACCAACCTGAGTCCCCCCTCCGACGTCTCTTGTCGTTGGAGCGACACTTTCGGAGACGCTGGGCGTAGATAACATTCTTGGCCGGCGACATTTTGCATGTCTGGAGCTACCTTCGCGTCGCGAGTCGATAAATTAGCGCATGCATCTTCATTTCGATGGTCGCAGGGTAGTGCATTAGTCCCGGTGAAAGGCTTTGGCCGGAGACCTCGGGCCAAATCAAGAACAATGGGGACAGGATACCCACAACTCCACAACGTTCCTTTTTCCTTTCTGCTGCTGCTGAGTCATTATTAGAATCTGCAGCTGCGACTGCACCGGCGGCTCAAATCCAATTACAATGCAGAATCAGCAGGCACACAATGGTTAGGGTTTGTTGGAGCCTAAAACTCTGAACCTGAATCCAGTATCAAGTTCCCTTCACTCTCTTTTCCCCCATTTCAATCGGCAATTTGGCCTTAACTTCGGACATGGCCGAAAGCCGCTGGCTAGCATTGTCCACTCTCCTCGTGGGCCTTTTTGCTTTATTATAGCAACGCTTATACAGATTAGAATAAATCAACTTGTCCCCCCGCGCAGACTAGACTCGTCCTGCTCTCGTTTTGCTTGTCCGGCGATCGGAAAACGCTACCGGCAACAACAATCTCAACTGGCCAGTTGGAGTTTGCAGCTGCATTGGAGGTTGCAGAGGGAAAAATGCTTTAAAATAGTTATTTTGGGTTATTAAAAAAAATAAAATAATCTCTGTATGTAGAGTACTAGCATGGGTAGTTGGGAAATGCGCATCCTGGGTTAAGCCAAAGATTGTTTAATTGCTTATTTATTTAATTTGAGTTCATAAATTTACAATATGATTACAATTTATTCATTCATTACAATTTAAAAATATTTTAGCTTTAATTTTAGGCAGTGGGACGTATTAAACAACTTGTAACTGCAATTTTATCTTTTTCTTTCAGTGTGGTATCTAGAATCTAGACCCTGGACTGACCACCCTACTCCCCAGATAGTTGGCCGCGGTTCCCCATTAAGTGCGCTCAGACCAAAAGGATGTTGGCGGAGATAAGCAGGCAAATAAGTTGGCTTACGCTAGAAAAGGAATTAATAATGCAGAAATGATGGGCTGCTCGTTTGGTTGCAGGTTGCAAGAGGACCGGACGACGAGGATCGGAAATGCGAAACCGGGTAATGGAAAATGGATGAAAACAACATCCAAATGATCTTTGGAGGAAATCGCAAAATGGATTCACTGCTCACTTGTGTGGTTTACTGGATTTCCTGGAGCTGCAACTTGGCTGGGGTGTCATATATCATTCTATGGTCATTAAAATAATATTCTCTCTCTTGGTTATTATAATTTTATGTTTGTACTCAGCATATGGTCAAGAAAATTATGGGTATAATAAAAGTATCTGCTTCTAAAAAAACGAAATTTGTACTTTAGTACATGATAGATTTTCCAAAAAGTTGTAGATACCTTTTTTTGAAAATAAGCAAATTTTTATTAAGATTGTCTTGAAAAACAGGGGTATGATAACAATTTTTTAGATACCATTATTTAAAAATAAGCTAATATTTTTTAGGCACCTTCACATATACATTTAATATTTAAGATTATCTTAGAAAACAGTGGTGTTCTCATAATTAATATCAGTCCAGAGCTTTATTATGTTAAGAAATGTTTTAAAACCCTTCCGGGAAGCCATATCCCACAGTTAAATAAAGAACCCTGAAGGTTAATGTTCTGTCCGAAGCATCGGAGAACATAAAGTTCAACACTTGGCCGACTCAGCCGACCCAAAGCAAATCTTACAAATTAAACGCATTCAAGTGCAAGATCCAGGAATTTTGATTGGGTCAAGCGAGTCGAAGGAGTCCGCGCGGTAGCTGAAAAATGCCATAACAAAATGTGTCAAGTGCCAGACATAAATGCCTAAGTAAGAGAGCTCGGAGGAGCATTAAGAACAGAGGACCCCGAGATGCGGGAACAATACAATGCCGCGCTGAGTCTTCTTGGTTGGTTTTTCATGGGCCTGCGGCCTTTTTGCTGTTTGCACTCGCCATTCGACATGCGGATCCTCGAATCGGATCGCCTTGGATCCGCTTGAATTGCCTTCGAACAATAAATTTTCGGTGCGTCACTTTTTGTTTGCTTCTCCAGTTGGCAGGCAGGCAGCCAGGCGCTTTTGCTTCTCCTCTGAGCTTTCCAATTAAAAATGCGCAATTGGGAGACCCAATCGCTGTACTTATTTGTAAGTTGCACGCATGCTCCAGCTTCTTTTTCTTCTCATTCCATTCCAAATCCACGAAGACCGACTGCTCCCTTCAGAGTTTCCATTAATTTACATAAAAATATCTTAATTGCGAGCCTGCGACGGCGGCGATTCGAATCGATTTTTTTTTTGCGCCTATCAATGCCATGTCATGTCGCCGACGCCCTGAGCTGAGAGCCCTCCAAATGCACAGCCAAAAAAACTGGAATATCGGTTATACATATTTTATTCAGCACAGAAAACAATTTTTAAAAATATTCGTATTTATGTTATAAATGATTTAAATTTTGTATAGTCTCTACAAGAGATTCCCTGTCATGTTTTTGTTTTATCTTAATTTTTTTTTTAATGTTATTATAAATATTTTAAATAAATATGTAACCGAATTTAAAGTTCTTTGTTTTAAATTTCACCTAGTGAAAAATTAGTTTTATGGAATTAATGTTCTTATAACTCTGAACTGATAAATCTAAATTAAACAAAAATAAGACAGCCAAAGAAATTAAAGTTAGAAAGTTAAAATTATATAAAATAATAAACTTGCCTAATAAAAAGTTGCTAACATTTTTAAACAAATTAAACATTTTTTTAACACCTTAGGGTAATTTGCTACGTATAAAATCAGTCCTTTTAAGATAATTAAGTGTTTCGCTGAGTGAACTCGCCTCTTTTCAGACAAATTTGTGCGACTCCACGTCAAGATCGCCATCTCGATCCACATGGCATCCACATCCGCGGCATCCGAGGCAGCAACACATGTCGGGCGACACTTTCAACCCGAACCCGCCAGTTGTGGAGCATCCGAAGTCCATGGTCCGATGTCCAATGAGCCCGACTCCGACTCTTTTGTCCATGCATAATCGCTGATAAATGTGACTTTCGGTGCTGCAAAAATGATTTGTTGATAATTAATGCAGTCGATTGGGGGGAAAAAACTGGGGGACAAACCACCCGAAAACCCGTTTGCCTCATGCCGCTAAAAAAAGAAAGAAATATATATAAAGAACAGCAGCCAGCAATTTGTGCCAAAGTTGTTGTTGCCATTGCAATCAGGCCTTAAAGGCAATCAACGCACAGTAATTCATGCCGCCTGACAGCACCAGCTCCATTCTCCAGACTCTCCATTCTCCAGACTCTCCATTCTCCCAGCTCCATCTCCAGATCCAAGTCGCCTGGCCCCCCGAACCCAACCGAAAATAAACCGAGTGAAAATTTTTTCCTAGTTTTTTCTGCGCCTTCGTCACGCAGCTAATTGCAAATAGCGGAAAAGGGGGCGGTGGAGTGGGTGGGGGGCCAACATGATCGCAATTAATGCGGCTAAAGTTAGTCGGCTGCTTAATCGTGGTCACTTGATCAATTTAGCACGCAATGCAATCGAAGAGGGAGAGAAATTAAGAAGCTGGAAAAGGAATGGGTAGCAAAAATATTTAAAAGACCAAAAAAAAAAAAACTAGAAAGAAATCAAAAATATATTAATGTCTAATTATTTAGAAAATCCGAAAAGAAGAGTTATATTATTTAATTTGGCTATTTTTTTCAAATACCGTTTAAAAATTGCTGCCTATTCAATAAATATTGAATGCTTTCTAAAAACATGCTTATATAACGATTTTTGTTTTAGAAATGTCAATAAAAATCTAGAAAATAATTTATTAAAATTAAATTGTCAGTCTTGCCCCAAATAATAATATCGCGGAAGATAAAGATCGATGTTCCGTTACAAAATAGTTACATTTACCATTTGTAGGGCCGATTACAAAATGGTTGAGGCCGCCACAAAAAGGAAGGTCGTCCTCCGCTTCAACGCCAGATCTTCAAGGTCCTAGATGCCCACGGATAGCGTCAGTTGCATAAATTCACTCGTGATACCTGAAAACCGCAATCCTAATACTTCCTCCGACCTTCAACGACCGCCATTACGCAATGCGCTTCGATTATCGAAAACTATCGGCTTTGACCATCGAAATTTCAGCCCTGGATAAGTTTCTTGAAAGAGTGCCTAGACAACCCTGGAACTTCTAATTTACGTCTTTCGTTTTCATTTCCCTTCATTTCAATTTCAATTGATCGATTTTTGCCATGGACATTACGAAGGTTAAAGTAGAGATGATAATCATGGCCCAGCAGGTGTGCAAGGATGCGGAGCTGTGGCAAAAGAGCATTCAAATGGGTCAAGTGACCCTGCAAAGGGTTAAGAAAATAAACCTTAGGCTTTTCTCCACCGAAAACCTCCTGAACAATGCCGAATCGCGATCACGGATTCAAGCCACGGAGAAGAGGATCAGTAATCTGTATCTGCGTCTTCAGAGTCCTCTGACAACAATGAACAAAATCTTGGAAAAGCTAACCGAGATTAGGGACAACACTGCGCGGATGTTGAATCGTTTGACCCTCTGGATGGATGACGAAATCATTTCTCAACACCAGATCAGCCCCAAGATCATGAGTTATCAACTTCTGGAGGCCCTACAGTTCCTGAGCCAGCGATATGATGCAGAGTGGGAGGTCAAGGAGGTGGTTGTCAGTAAGTACGGCATCGGGCTCAGGACTAAAAACCCTCAAATTCTTTCAATACATTTTGGTTTTGAAACGTTATAACTTTGAGATAATTTTAAGAAATATATAACAAAACTTGAAAGAAAAAACTTAAAAAACATATATATTCCGATACAATATAATCCTATAATAATCGTAAAACTTCTCCCAAATGTATCTTGCAGATGATCTGGAGAAAATAAGCAACGCCAACGAGCTGAAGTTATTGATGGATAGCTGGAGGATTTGCAGCCATGCTGGAGGTCAAGAGTTCGCCACTATATTGTGCGATTATTATAAGATCGTCGATCGCTCCATTCCTTTGGTAAAGGCTTCCTAGTGCGAAGATACCAAGTTCGGGATACCATAACCAAAATATCTCATGTTCACTACTCATAAGAAAACCACGTTATGTTTTGAATTTGATGTTAGTTTTATTTGAAAAATGGTTTTTTAGTTTGTATTTGTTATCGCCTGCTTGCCAAACAAATCTATAATCTGTAAAGAAAATACAAAAAATTGCATTTCGTTTGTTTCAATTGTTCTCTCTTTTTTTTTGTCGTGTTTGCTTTGCACATTTAAAATTTGACCCATTTTTGACCTTTGCTATTTGCTCATCGATTTTGCTCTTGTTTCGTTTCTGACTTGGTAGCAAAACAAAACTTAATTGTAATTTTACTACAACAACATTTTGTTTTTGCCCATTATATAATATTTAATTGTATATAATATATATAATATGCAATTCTGTAGCTAGATTTTGACATTCATGTTCTCGTACCCAATCTCGATACATATATATATATGTATATATATAGTGTGTATGGTGTCTATAACATGCGCTCATTTGTTTTATAAACAAATGTCTGTCTGCATTTCAAATTGCTCCTCTTCCATCGTTTTTCGGAATTTTTTTTGGGATCGTCTCATTGATCGGATCCTCCAAACTAATTTAACTTAATAATTGCATACTTTTTAGGCTAGGCTAGTAAATGGTTTTCCTCGTCAACGCTTAATGCACTTTTTTGTTTGTATTTTCCTTTTACTTTTTGTGGTTTTTCGGCTTTTTTATTTTGTTGGTTTAATCTTTAATTAGTTTCCAAGCCTTGAACTTGCCCTTAATTAACTTTACAATGAACGTGTGTATAACTTTTAGTCGCTCGCTTTCCTCAACTCCATTTCCAAGTGAATTGTGGTTCGTCTTTGTCCTTAGTTTAAGCTAATCGTTATTTAGAAAATTTTCAACTCGTAAACTGAGTTTGGTTTATTAAAAAACTGTTCCCATTTTGGTTTTTAATCCATATATATTTTTTTCTTGTTTTTTGTTTTCTTTTTGCTATGAATGCTTGTTGTCAATTGTTGCGGTAAATGTTTCGAGTTGGTTTTTTTTTGGTTTTCTTTAATCATTAAACATTTGTTGTGCTTTACACTTAATTATTGCTATAATTATTTGCTTTTATTGGCGCCCGGGGACTTGGATTTCCCGGGAAATGAATGAGAGACTGTGTGTGGCAACTGAAACCTTAGCTAGGAAAAACTCGGCAAGCACGATAATATCGATTTCTAGAAAATGATTGTAAGCGGTTCCTTATTTACAGCGTGCACTTGCGTGATATATAGATATGGATGATCTACGTGGGATCGGGATCTCGGGGGTCTGAGCGATAGGATACGGAATAGAATGAAATGAAATAATGAAAAATAATCAGATTTGCAAATAAGTTCGGTTTATTACACAAATAATAGAATACTAAATGAAATCGAAACTACTTAAAAGATATGCATGTTGGGGGTGTAGTGTGTGTGTTTTATGTTGGTGTTGATAATTACTAGAAAACGTCTTTGTAATCGTAGGTTTTGTTGTTTACACAATTTATGCTAATTAAAATACACAGGTAAAAATAATTTCATTGTTTAATAATTGTTTTCCATTTTTGTTTACTTAATTGATTTTGTTTTAAACTTAAGCCTAGCGAAAATCGTTTCAACGTGCAAAATCAATTGTGGTTGTTGTTGGGCTGTTGGTGAGTGTAGAAAGCTTTCCCGTTCTTTACAAGCATTATTATTAATTTGTACACATTTTCGTTTAAGTATTTCATTATTAGAAAATTGGCTATGTGAGTGGTGTGTGTGTGTGTGTGTGTTTTTGTTTGCGGGTTGTGTCCGGTATCTGTGTGTGAAGAACAAATGTTTCCCTAGGATTATACGAATACAAGAGACAACAAAAAACACACGAAAAACACGAAATTAAAACTCTTCCTAACGCTCATCCTAACTCTAAACCTGTCCTCGTCCTCCTCTTACTCTTACTCCTACTCGTCGTCCTTCAACATCTGCGCTTGGCGTCCAGATATATATAGTTTTTATATATGCAATTTACAGTATACCGTTTCAGTTAATTATATGTTTTGTTTGTTTCCATCGTGTGGGGGCGTTTAATGCGTGTGTTGGGTGTTTGGGGTTGGTTTTTTTACACTTTCTTCTTGTATAATTTAAATTTAAACTAATTCTCGCTTTGCACAAAAATTTACACAATTTATTGATTTAATTTATTAGATTTAAATACGGTCTCCTCCTCCTCTCCTTCTCAATTTGTTGTAAACTAATTACTAATTGTATAATTACACTTCTGTTTTGCTTTGTTGTTGCTGCTGCTGTTGCTGCTTACGGCGAATTGGTTGTAAATATGTACAAACTTTGTTACTTAAGCTAAATATGTTACTCTCGCTTCATCGCCACTCGGCTATTGTATATATGACCTATATGCCTACATGTGTGTGGTTGTTTGTTGTTGGTTTTTCGCTACTTTCTCATTCGCTCCTCCTCGGTTTTTGTATATTTATAAATATTAAACACTAATCGAACGCGCCAGCCTATGTATATGTATAAAAAAAATAAAATTAAACAAACAATTCTTGCACTTGACACTTTTACAAATTCTCGACGATTAATAAATAGTAATGCTGTTGCTGTTCAAGACTTATCGGTAGACGATAAAGTTTATATATCCTATCCGCCGCTCTCATCGGTGATCTTTGTATGTTTTCTGTTTTGTTTTCATGTTGATTATGCTAAGTAATCTGTGCGTTGCGTTAACTGCTGCTATTGCTCTTGTTGTTCTGTTGGTGTTTTTGGATTCTGTTGTTAACTTCGATTGATGGTTGCTTGGTGTTGATTCTGATTTTTAGATCTGTTTCGGTTCTCTCTATTTCGCTGTTCTTTGAGGTTGATATAGCTAGTGGAAGTTCTGCAAACGGAAGCATGCGACTGCGTTTGATTGATTTTGTTATGTTATATGTTTTGAAGTGATCCTCAGATCTGAGATCCCGGACCTTAGGCTATGGCAGCCGTCAGATAGTACAGATCCATCAGCGTCTGGACATTGATGGGCAGACAGGAGAGACGATCGTGGGTGTTGGAGTCGAGGGCCAGCCAGGAGAGGGCATTGTATCCCTCGAGGACGAAGCGCAGCACATCCGCGGTGAGAATCGAGTCCAGCGGATGGTCGTTGGCCGACTGATGGGCATTGGTCGAGTTGAGTATATCGTCGGCCGACTGTATACTGGGCACATGGAGGTGTAAGGCCGTCTTCAGGAACACGGGGCACACGTCCTCGAGATGCGGACAGGCGGACCAGAACCAGGCGGGCATTCGGCCCGTTGGCGCCGTGCTCACCATGTAGCCCACTGATATTGGCTGTTGGTTTAGAGAACCAACCTGAAAAGATAGCGATAATTAATAAATGCCTTAGTTAAGTCTCCAATGGAGCCCTGCGTGAATCATTCAATTTTTGTTTAATCATAGTATGCCATGAAATTTCTGATTTGTTAAATTCAATTCTATGTGAAATAAATTGAATGTTTTTCTAATTCATTTCGAAATGATAGAATGAATATTTTTTATGAATTTTTTGAATTTGCCAGATTTGTTTAAGCTTTCTTTTGAGAACAAAAAGTGGAAAATTTTTAACATAGTAAATAAAATTCAGGCAGATTCAATCAAGAAATGATGGCCCTTTCTATTTCAAAATAAATTGTCGTTTGAATTATTTCGGCATTTATGCCATTCATTCATTCAATTCTATTAAACTCAAAATTCAAATTCATTCAATTCTATTAAACTCAAAATTCTAACTAATTCATTCATATAAATTAAAAAATTCAAAATAATGCAATGAATCCATTCATGCAGGGCTCTAATCTTCATTAATATATAACCCACCTCCTCCACTTCCTGGGGCGGCGTGCACTTGAAGTTATTGCCACCGGCGCTCTGCCAGCTGCGGTTGTCATCCATGCGTCCCGGACTACCATGATTGGAGACCCTGTCTATGTGAGCTGTTTGAAGAATAAGGAGAATTCTTAGTAACTGTAGCAAAACCCTGTTAATTACAAATACTTACTGTCTCCCCAGAAGAGATCGCCAATGTCCGCATCGCTAAAGTCCTCGTTGCCCTCCTCCTCGAAGGTGAGAAAGTCGTCATCTACTTGCGGCTCATTCTGGAATTGGCGGGTGAAGGGCTGCAAAAAAAATCATCATAATTAATAAAATATATATTTTATATTTAATGATTGCTCTATAAACTCACCGCACAGACGGCGCTGGTGGGAAAGACCAGGATGTGGGTGCAGGTCACATCCTGCGGCGTGGCCAGCGGATTCTGCATGGAGATCTGTGAGAAGCGCTCATCCGGCGTAAACTGATCGGGCATCACGCGCAGCTTGGCATCGGGTTCCAAAGTCACCAGGCAGGCACTCAAAATAGTCGGTGGATACATCAGTGTACATTGCTTGCACATATCCTTGAATTGCTTGGAGGCCTTCTGGAGTTGCTGCTTGCTGAGCAAGTAGCTCCACGACTTCAGTTCACTGTGCCCAATCCTTCCAATCCGACCAATGACCAAACGCCACATCTGCGATGTCTGCGAAATGATGCCCATGATGAAGTCCATCAGCTTCTTCAGTGCCACATAGCGAGCGGGCGCTTTCCTTCGTCTCGCCCGATTCGGCACATCGATATTGATGCAGATCTTCTCGAGCAACTCGCCCCGCTCATCGGTGGCGGTGGCCAATAGCCAAGCCTGATCTTCGCTCAGGCAGTAATTGCAATACATCACCGAGTAACGATGCTCGTTCTGGCCATGCATGCTGCCCGCCGATCTGGAGAAGTCTGTCTTGTCGTTCCTCTCGTGCATCGGCGCCAGAACAAAGGGAGCCGTGTACATCTTGTAGGCCCGGCGATTGGGTTCGTCCTTGGTCTTGAGGAAGGCCTCCATATTGGCCGCCGTCCCAAAGCCCGTAAGACTTTTCACCGACTGCGCGTGCACCAAGTGCCGCCGGCACTGCGAGAAGATGTTCAAAGCGAGGCATCTAATCTCATCGGAGAAGCGCTTTCGATTGCCACACGGTCCCAGTTCCATTACCGATTCCAGCGATATAATCTGTATGTTCATCTGGGCGCGCACCGAATCGGGAACGGCTTTCAGGAGCTCCGCGTAGCAGCGAAGAAGGGCAATCAAAGCAAGTCGCTCAAGTTCGCAGCTATCCGAGGCAAAGGTAAAGGGATTGACCACATAGAGGACAATAGCTGATGGGTTGATGTCTTCCAAAGTCTCGCCCATGCCCAAGGGATCGCCCAGGATGAGAGCGGGTTTGGTATCCCCTGCTGCCGAGGAGGCTCCTACTTTTCCCGCGCCCGCTTCCTGTTTAATTTCGCTGGCTTCCATCGGCTGAACTGGCGGCGCCTCTGTACCCGGTTCCAATTTGATGTTATCCGTGGGTAAATCCCCGCCAGGCAATCCACTGACTGAAGAGCTATTCGAGGAGCTGCCTCCCTTGGAATTGGAACTGCCCGAGGCATCTGGCGGATTCAGCAGCGTCTTATCGTTGGGCACTTTACTGAGATAGGGAGCCAGTTGGTGAATGAAGGCCACTGCATAGCGACGGATTTGCTCCGCTAGAGCAGCGTGCTCTAAAGTTCTCAACCAGTCATCCAATGGAGTTGTTTCCCGATCGGTTTGAACGTTGCGAGCAGCGCCCACCTGGAGGATGCCCTCCCATCCACGAATGGGCGTGTGTTTGCCCAGCTTGCACATCTCATAGGTGCTACTTAATTCCCGGAAATAACTCCTAGTACAACTGGCTACATGTTCGTTATCCGGACAAACAACCAGGTAGACCACATCCCGGGCATACGAGTACGGTTCCAGGAGAAACTTATCCCAGTAGTGGATGGAATGTGGGGCCACCGATATCCAATCCTTCTCGTAACCCACCACCACCGAGGGAATGGGTTGCGGTTCGCATTGTCCGGATGCACGACCCGCCAGGCGATGGAACTGCCGCCAGGTGAGCGGTCCACTAACCGTATTATACGAACTGGCATCCTTCGAGCCCGATCCTCCCCTCGACTTGCAGTGGAAGGCATTCTGCAGCATCGGCTGTATTGCATTCATGGTGCGCACAATCTCCTTGTTGCTGCGGGTGAAACCCACCGGCAGATATGCCCACTTGTGCACCGTCAGCCGACCAGCGCCAATCGCCGCCAGCTTGTGACGCAATGCAGGTGGCGGTGCATGAAAGGCCGTCAGTTGTTGCTGCTGCTGATGATGCGAGCTACTGCTACCGTTGCCATGAAAGTCCATCATATTGTCCATCCGCTGGTTCTCGAAGGCCAGTCTCGCATGTTCCAGAGCCAAACTGATATTGTCATGGGCGTCCATAAACTCCAGGACATTTGCAATCGATGCCAACGAGGCGGTGGGCGCTCCATTGGTGCCAAAGATCCTCCGCTGGCGGGACATTCGTCGCCGATGCGCCTGCAGGGCTCTGTGCACGGAACTACTGGAGGTCTGGATGATGGAGCATTGATCCAAGAGCAGATCGAAGACCGCATGCGTCAGTTGCTCCAGTTGTGGTCCTACTTTCTCCAAAGCAGAACTCGTCTCTCCCGATCCCTGCTGCTTAATCTGGTTCTTCCGGCTGAGACTCTGGATGATACTCAACAACGTGGGCTGCTTATTCCTGCCCGGATCATCCGCTATGCCCGTGATCTCCACCTCATCCTCGTAGAAGAGTCCAGCGCGATGCGAGAGCCTCCGATTGACGACGGCGCTAAAGCCGCAAGTGCACTCCACCGGATCGTCGTCCACATAGCCGGTGATGTGGGGATTACTGCTGGGCGGCGTGCAGGATGACGAGTTGGAGCCGCCGTTCGGGCCGTGACCATGTCCGGAGCCAGCTCCGGGCATCGAGGCGGAGGCCGGCGAGCCCCCAAAGGCACTGATCATCCGCATGCCGCCAAAGCCACCAGCGGAACTGGGTCCATTCGGCATCCGCTGTCCAGCTGCAGTTCCTCCAGATCCTCCAGCTGCACCTCCTGCTGAAGGAAACGGATTGAAGCTAACACCTGGCAATGGTACATAAACTCCCGAATCCGCTCCCCGAATATTGCCAATCTTCTGCGTATCCGCATTGCACACGCACACACTGCTGCTATCAAAGTTGTGATCCCGGAAGACATTCAAAGCGGTGTCGTAGAGGAGGATGTTGACCAGGACAGAGTTGACTTCCGGTAGCTCCTGGAGGAGACTCGCGGGTCCGGCGGCTGTCATCGCTGTTCCGCCACCACCACTGGCAATGCCCGCATCGCCAGTGTAGGGCATCATTCCCATGTGACTGCCAGCTCCTCCGTTTCCGTGACCCATGGCAACTCCTCCACCCATTCCATGCATTCCATGCGGATGCTCCTGCGAGTGGAGTGGCCGGTTCAAGTAGGACGACGTGGAGGTAGCTGGACTGGCCACTGCCAAATCGTAGGGATATGGCGGTGGCGGATGCGTGGGCGTCGCCCTCGACATGGGACTACTCCGGGCGGCATAGGCAGCCATTCCGGGACCCGGCGAAATGGGCGACATTCCCGCGCGGTGCATCAGTTGCTGCATGGAGCTGCCGGGCGGCGCCTGTGGGCAATTCAACTGATTCAACAGCAACTGACTGCCGCCACTGCTCAGCGGTTGTGGAACTGTGGAGGGCGTAAGAGGAGTCCTGGGCGCCGCCGACAAAAGATCATGGAGATGCTGATGCTGGTGCTTCTGGTGGCCTCCACCCGCTGCCGCCGCCGCCGCTGCTGCTGCTGCTGCGGCCGCCGCTTGTTGCTGTTGCTGCTGATGATGTTGGTGCTGTAGCTGCTGCAACTTTTGCTGATGCAATTGAATGCGCTGCTGGAGAGCTTGATGCTTTTGATGCTGCTGCTGTTGCGCTGCCGCCGCTTTGGCCAAGGTGGCTGCCCTGGACTTGTGACTACTCCAGGTGGGTTGATAAAAGCAACCCGGAGGCAAAGTCAACGGCGGTTGCGTCATGCTGGGCAGGTTCGTCAGCGGAGCGTAGCGCGTGGCGCCCACAAATTTCTCCTGCTGCGGCGGTCTATAAACATAGTTCCAGTCATCAATGGGCTCCTCCACGGGGCTGCCCAACTCCAGGTTATACTCCTGCTTCACCAGCTTGGAGAAGCTCGTCTGGATTGCCACCACGGTGGTGACGGGAGCTTGAACGGCTGCCAGGATAATACTGCTGCTGCTGCTGCTGTTGTTGCTTGTCGTGTTTGCGGTGGTGGTGCTGCTATTGATACTACTCGTAATGGTGGTGGTGTTGCAGGTTGTGGGGATGCTACTGCTACTGCTGGTTATACTGGTTGTGGTGGTGTCCACACTGAGATCCGTCATCACCACGTCCGTTTGGCAGGGACTCGAATTCGGGTGCTGCTGCTCGTGCGACGGCGGTGTGGGGAACATCTTGGTGAGATCCTCCGCCTGGATATTGCCCGCTCCCGATGACGCTGCTGCTGCCGCAACTGCCGCCGCTGCCGCTCCCAACACCGCCGCACTGCTTATAGCCGTGCTCCGTTTGAGGTCCTCGATCGTATTCGTAACAGCACTGCAGCCGCCATTCGAGGGATTATTGGAATCGGGCGGCGTGTGAATCTGCACGCTGCTGCACTCATCATTCGAGCTCGTCTCAAACAACTGCTCCAGGTCGTTGAGCGATGGATTCAGTCCCTCGGCGGTGAAGAGATTACCGCCACCGCTTCCGCCGCCGCTGCTGTTGCCCCCGCCTCCGGAGGATTTCGAGGTCTCCTTGCACGAGGGGGAATGCAAACCAGGCTCTGTCTTAATGTCCAATCCCTGGAAGAAGCTGCTGCCACCATCGACACCATCGGCATCACTGCCATTGGCTGTGCTGTTGGCGATGCCAACCAATCCACCGCTGGAACTGCCCGCCGCCGATCCTCCTCCTCCTACGCCGGCTGACGTCGCTGAGACATCCAGCGAGAGCAGCTGCGAGCCATAAACTGATCCCGGCGATGGCATCAGCGGCTTCACGTGCGTGTGGCCCTCGTACAGGTTCTTGGCATACCTGGGTCGACGTTGCTTATCCAGTTTCGGTCGCTTCACCGTCAGATAGTCCCTGGGATTAGGAAAATTAGACATTAGAATGATATTTAAAGGGGTAAAATAGGGTAGAAACTAGAACCCTGCATGAACCATTCAATTTTTGTTTTATCATATTATGCAATGAAATTTCTGATTTGTTTAATGCAATTCTATGTGAAATAAATTAAATGTTTTTCTAATTCATTTCGAATTGAATGAATAAATGAATAAATTTTATGAACTTTTTGAATTTGCCAGATTATTTTTGTGCTTTCTTTTGAGAACAAAAAGTGGACAATATTTAACAAATCAATGCTAACTGCTTAGAAAATAAAATTCATGCAGATTTAACCACAAAATTATGGCACTTTCTTCTTCAAAAGAAATTGTCGTTTGAATTATTTCGGAATTCACTCAATTCTATTAAACTCAAAATTCAAATTCATTCAATTCTATTAAATCCAAAATTCTAATTAATTCATTCATATAAAACAAAAAATTCATTCATGCAGGGCTCTACTAGAAACTAAGCCTCACCAGTTTTCCTGGTACTGAAAGTCATAGATGACCTCCTTGAGCCACTCCTCGTCATAGAAGCTGTCCGGATCCTTTAGCGTCAGCTTGGGCGGATTGTACAAGCGCCTCAGGTTGTTCATCGCCTCCGTGGTGGAGGTGACACCCGCTCCTGTCCCCCGTCCTTGAGCACCCGGCTCCTGTTTAATAACCATTGCTGCCGCTGAAGGAGTCTGCTGCTGCTGCTGTTGCTGCATTTCAAGCTTCTTCACACTTATAGTTCCCACTGTTCCTCCCCCTCCAGCGGCATTCGAAGCTCCTCCAGCCGACGTTGCTGCTGTGGGCGTGGCCGGTTGCTGGGCGGGCACACTACCTGGTCCAGTGCCCATGGATTGACCCACTGCTCCTCCTCCTCCGCCGGCCGCATGATCCGTATAAGAGGGCGGCTCCACGCTGGGCGTCTGGTGGACATAAGGCGAGGCCGTGATGCTCTTATTGTCGTGCTGATCCGTTGGCGTCGGCGCCGGTGTATTCTTGTCCAGCAGATGATCAATGGGCGTGGGCGGCTGTTGAAGATTGGAAACGGAAGTGGGCGCATGGGGACTCATGTTGAGTAGCTGTGACGGGAAAAAGAAAATACCAAGTTAGTGGAATAATTCGCTTTAGCTTTCTGCGTCTCTGTTTTTTTGGGTCGTCACTTTTTTTTGCACTCACTTGCTCAGCGGCCGGCACGGATGTCGGTTGCGAGTGCGCCGAATTGGGATGCGGAGAGGGAGCAGGTGTGGCCGGTGATTCCACGGAGGCCACCGGCATCGAGGAGTCGCCGCCCACGGAATTCCGGGAGTACGTCGAGGCGCCACCATGCGGCGTTCCATGAGGTGTATTCGCCAGGTGTCTATTGAAATAAAAATAAAAGTAGAAATATAACAATTAGCATAATGGTTAAAGTGTCGTAAGATTAAGTGGTGTATTTTTTTAGAAACGTTATGTACAATGCTCAAACTACGGATAATGTAGCTATGGGTATATTAATCATTTCAAATAATATATTATATATTGCTCGGGATACTCCAGCCAAAGAAGTGTCCCAAAAATAACCATAAGCAAAATTAAACAAAAACCACATCCATTGTTTAAGGATTAAATGTATTAAACAAAACCTTCACAGCTGCAAAATAAAAGATATATAAAGAGGTGCTCGTTAAATCTCCAAAGATGTTAGGAAAATAACTAGTATTTTATATTAAAAAATCAAAATCATTTTCTTTATACACTTCAGAGATTTCTAAAACACCAACATTGTTATAATTATAAATGCTATTGTTATTTACAAATAAGAAATCCAGCAAAATAAATAAAAATCATTCCACAAAATGCATAAAACCTAGAAGAATAAGACAAAGATGCATGCGGCACCAAAACCAAAGTACTATAAACCGAGTTTTCCGCTAGCCAATCGTAATCAAACCAAATCCAGTATCGAGTATTTGGAAAAACGGGCCATGAGAAAATGAGAACGGCAATGGGGTTGTGGATTTGGGGGTTGGACGAGAGTGGGGGGCAGTAGATACTAAGCTAGTTAAATGCTACAAAACGTGTTGTATGTCCTCGAAATGGAAAATATTATACAATTTGTTGTTATATCGTTGTTTCTTTTTTTTTCAGCGTTGCTTTGTTTTTATTTTTAATGTTTGCTTATTTACCATTTACCAAGGACGAGATTAAGTGAATTGGAATTAGAAATTGTTATTGCAAGTTGGCGACGCGCGAATGTTTTTGTTGTGTGTGTGCTGACTCCTTTTTTTTGTGGGGGCGTGGTGAATTTAAATGCACCCCTCTTCGATTCCAGTGTACTTTTTGTTAGGGGTCAGAAATAATATGCTCAAAACCAACCAACAAAATAATAAAACATAAGAAATCATAAGGTTAACAGAGCGTGTGAAGAGAGTGAATAGAAAAATATATAGTGTGTAGAAAGAGCGAAAGTAAGAGGACGGGTGGTATATACAGTAGCGATCAAGATAATAGCACTCAATGAAATTTTCTTTAAATGCGAGGAATCCGTTTTTGAAAAGTGATTGTATATCGTAGTAAATTAATAGTATATAAACTTTTAATAATTTACATTTGAAGATTACATTTACTTTGTAAAAAACATATTTTTCATTATTCTTATTAAAAATTTTATTCACAATATTAAAAACAAATTTTTTAATTTTCTGAAGATTATAAAATGGTTTAAATTATGTATCTTGTAGCTGGTTTAATTACCAAACCAAATCTCAGTAAACATTTAATCATTCTGAATCCTTAAATAAACGATATTCCTCTATTATCTATTAGTTTGACCGCAATAGTATATGAAAAAGAGAAAACTGAATAGCGTTAAACTAAAACATAGGCAGCACTGGCTATAATGAACAGACGCCACTGCACTTTACTTCACTTCACTCCACTCAACACACAAACCTTTGTTTTGGTATATTGGTGTCTGTTGTGGTGTTGCTGTGGTTTTTGCCCCGAAAGTTGGAGGCCGTGGAGGAGGTGGCGGCGGTGGAGGCCAGCGAATGGAGCAACCGCTTGTGGAACGGCACATTGTGGCGCCGCAGAGCGGAGGTCGCGGAAGAATTGGAGGCGGAAGTGTTGCTCAGGGAACTGGAATGATGCGATGTTGCTGCCGCCGCTGCTGCTGCCGGCGGCACAGGTGTTCCCGGTCGCTGCTGTTGCTGTTGCTGCTGTAGATGTTGCTGGTGGTAATGTTGCTGGTAGGACAACGACGACGACGACGAGGAGGATGACGATGAAGCAGACGACGACGACGACTTATTGCCACTGGCACCGGTAACTGCTGCCCGCAGTGCCGGCGATCCCAGCGGTTGCTGTTGTCGCTTGTTGCTGCTGATATTACTAATGTTGCTGTTGCTGTTGCTACTGCTGCTGCTGCTGCTTTGGGCGCTGAAATTTGTTTGGTTTTTTTTTGTTTTTTTCGGGTTTAGACACTAGCAACACAATTTATAACGTTTCGCTTTCGTAGCTCTGTCTCTTGGCTGAAGTTTTAATTTGTTTTGTTGCTGCTGTGTGGGTTAGGTAACTCAAAAAAAAAATGGTATAGAAAAAAAGAAACGGAAAAAATCTATTGCCTATCGCATGCACAGATAACAGTAAAAAGAAGGTCAACTACCGCCTTTAACTGCCTACTGTTTGCTAAGGTAAAGGTACTTTTGTTTTAGGCATGCCATCAAAGCGGGTTTTTAAGGGTCTTGGAGGGAGCACAACATCTCCACTACATCAATTTCATATCAGTCTTATATGCATAATTTAAAAAGTGGTTATTCTAATAGAGAGGCAGCAAAAAGATTAAGGTTTTTTAGGGTCACAAAAAATAAGAAGAAAAAACACGCGAATAAAAGGAAAGGTATTTCCAAAATTCTCTAGAAATAAAAGCCCCTATTGGAACCCCCTAAAAATTAAAATTGTAGTTATAAGCAACAAAGAAATTTAGGTTTTTAAATATTTTTAAAAAATGTTACTTTAGTTGTGTAAAATTTTTATAAAATCAAGTAAGCAAAAGTTATTTTTTCTTTACTATATTTTGACCACAGGGATTTTAATCAACCTCGAAAGAAATTTAATAATCAAAATCCAATAGTATTTCCTAAAACCTATTTATTTTCAATTGTGAAAATCAAACTGAATTGAGAACGCACAAACTACCAGAAAATAATATTTTCCTGTACAACTTCAGACACTTAAACTACGATTTCAAAACCTCTAGAGATTGGATAAATACCCTTGCATATGGAGAGTAAATAACAGAGCTGGGAAACTCCACTACAATTTTCAAGAGGACTAAAAGAACGGAACTCACTTTGTGCATATGCAGGGCGCCTTTTGCATGGGATCCACGAAATTCCAGAGCTTCTGACGTTGCTGCTGCTGCTGATGCTGTTGAATCTGCTGCTGCACCAGTTGCTTGGAATCCTGCTGCGGCGGTTTATTCTGCTCATTCTCATCGCCATCAGCCGATGATGATGTCCCTGTTCCCGAGGTTGGTGTAGAAGAAGCCACGGCTGCCGCCGCCGCTGCTGCTGCTGCGTCCACGTGGAGCGTGTTCATCACGCAATCCTGCCAAGTTCGTTCCGGCATTTCCACGGCTGCCGAGGCGGGTATGTGAGTATTGTTGGTATTGAAGGTGAAGCCCGAGGTGGGCCGTTGATCGTAGTAGGGCTGGAAGGCGAGACGTTCCAGGGCGCTGACTGCCTGGGGAGCTGCCTTGCGGGATGCCTCTTTGGCGGCGGCGGCGGCTCCTGCTCCTGCTCCTCCTCCGCCTCCTGGAGCGTTGAGCGAAGCCGGACCCACGGGTATTGCTGCTGCAGAAGGAGCGGCGCCCAGGGAAGGAGGAGCCGAGGCCAGGACAGCTGCCTCAGCCGCCGCCGCTCCGCCCACTGAGCTCTGCATCTTCTGCATCTCGACGAACTCCATGTGCTCCATGTCGTCCAGGTCTGTGACTAGTACGTAGTTCGTGGGATGATACATCTTATGACCACCTGTGGGTTTATAAAATAAATGGATTATAATAAAGTATATCCATGAGATTGATCTTAAGGTAGCTACTCACCCGACACCACTTCCACCACCGGTGGCACATCCGAGTTGTCCTTATTGCACAGCGGAAAAAACGAGGCCCAGTCCTCGAGGATCTTTTCCGCAATGGGATCGCTGGCCTTATAGCTATTGCCGGTGAGTATGGCCGCAATTCCGAAGGGGGCCAACATCACCTTGCGCGCATGCGCAGGTGGCGCTGCCTTGGCTGCTCCCTCGCCACCGTCCAGTGGCTCCATTCCGGCGCCATTGGCGTCCTGGCCAGGATTAGGCACTGCTCCGCCCGCTGATGCCGGAGAACTCGACGATCCTGGCGGCGAACTGGACGCTGCAAAGGCCGCCGCCGCCTCGGCCAAATGCTCCTTGGTCAGCGGACGCACGGCGGGATGTTCGCGCAAATCTATGGAGGCGCAAACGGTGTCGCCGTGCACGAAGAACGTGAATGAGAAGGACAAGTGCTGGGAGCTGCAAGAAAAAATAAAAGATTATTAGAAAAGGTAATTTTGAAAGGAAATTTAAATTCTTAATAATTTTTATACTCTTAATTTTTTCTTCTAAATCACAAAAAAATTACCAATAAATCTAAAAAATTTATAGTTCGATTTAAAGTAATTTAATAAAAAGTTTTGAAGCCAGGAATTTTATTTGAAGGTATAAGGTAAAGGTAAAAGGAAATTTATAGAGTTAAATTTAAATTTAATTTAAATATGTTTTAAATTTAAAGCAATTTAGTAAATAGTTTGTAAGCCATGAATTTTATTTGGAATTAATAATATTACAATACAAAATCCCCGAATCATGTTATTCGTTTATTGATTTATTTACTGATATGACAAGTCTATAACCCTAAAAAACAAACAATCATAAATATTTATGGTTTTTTTTGGGCTTTCCATATGAAATTTAGCTTGATAAAAATGGTTTACTATCAATTTCGTAATATGTGAACCAAACTACATAAGCATTATTATTTTTGTAAATGTCGCAGGAAGAACGATGCAATGTCACAAGCTTCAATGCCATTGCACAGAGTTCCTGAGTTCTTTGTTCTAGGATATGACCGTATGTGCGAATTGGACGGTATTCTCAGCATTTTCACATCAATTAAGGTTCATATCCGAAGGAGTTCAGGATTTCCTACACTTAGATCACATACCTGCGTCCAAAGAGACGATCGCTGGAGGTGCAGGGCTGCACAAACCATTTGCCAAATCGCACAATGTCCTTGGTGAGCACGAATCTGTAATAAATATTGGTTAAAGAGTGTTAGTTTTTATAAGATTTATATAGATTGATAAATATAATATTACCTCTCCATGAGATTGTGCAGCGCCTTGAAGAGAAGCGATCGGCACTCGTAGGTAAGGGCTCCTTTCCAGGTGCCATTCCAAAGCGCTTGGTTGGCTAAAATATAATAAAATACATTTTAAATTAATGAGTTTGAAGTGAAAGAAATGTACTAACTAATTGATCCCCAATCTTCCTCGTTGGTTTTTCAAATTAGCTTAATTCAATCGTTATCCATTTCATTTGTTAAAAAATAAATATATTCATATGATACTTTTTCAAGGTTTACAAAATGTTTAGTTCAAAATTGTACATTCGTTCATTGACCTTTTTGAATACAGAGATTGTATTTAATTAAAAGATTAGCAAGTCATAGTAAAAGTGTTTATAACCATTGGTCTTTATGCCCTGTAAACTATTAAAATAGTAATAAAATGTTTAGGATCAAAAGGTGTTTGTTTTACAGAATGTTAGTTACTACCAGTAATTTATGAAAGATATTCTGAATAGTTTTCTAGCCTTCTTATGAAGATCCCTTCTTATATGTCCACATGTACAACAACATAAATGGATTTTCAAGTACCGGGTGTATCACAAAATTCGTCATTATTTCCCACGTAAATGTCCAAAACATTTTGGGGTTTCATTAAAATGTAAAGTGGAAAATACCCAAAAAACAAGTGAAGGAGAAAAACAAATTTAGTTAACAACAATAAGAAAAACAATGAGAAGAGACGTCTGCAACGCAAAACAATCCCTCTCTTTCGCTCCTCTCTCACTTTTCCGCAGAAGAGAAGTCAACAACGCGCGCACGCCTCAAAAACAACAAAAAAAATCTTTTAAGACTATTTATTTTTATTATTGTTTTGTTTTCGTTTGTATTTTTTTAAAATGACAAACAAACTTAGAGCGAGATGGGTAGACTACCAAAAGATACAAATATGTGTAGCACGGAAAATGTAAAAATGCAACGTGAGAAGAAAAGAAGTAAAGAGGGCGACAAAAAGCCGCCAGGCAACAAAATAAAATTCCCGAAGCGGAAGTTCAAACACTTGAAAACAAAAAGAACAAGCATTGAGTAAACGGAAGAGAGAGAGAGAGAGAGAGGGAAACGGGAAAGAAGAGATGAGGGAAAGGATTTGTGAAAGAAAAAGGACAGTCTAGAAATTTTTGGAAAATTCCAAGCATCCACCACCCACACACACACATGTGTGTATGTGTTAACTCTCTCTTCCTCTCTTTCTCCTTAATTCCCACGCCTGCACTGATTTCGCCTGCTTCTTCTTTGTCTTCTTTGGTCAACAATGTTGCAAAGATAATTACGTAAAGGTAAACAACACGGACAAATATCAAACAAAGCAAAAAAAAATCAGCGTAATAACTATTTTTGTTGTTTTGTATGGCTAGTGCTACTGTTATATACATTTCTTTTTTCTCTTCAATGAGATCAGCGTGAGTTTTTTTTTACAACGACGCTTAAAAACTCACACGCACACATGGGGATATGTAAAAGGGCAATGTACGATTACGCCTAAGTGTGTGTGAGTGCGTGAGAGAGTCTGCCTCTCTTCCCCCACCTCCTTCCCATCCTCACCACTATTATTATCCCACCATCTCCATATTTCCCATCCCCCATCCCCACACTTCCAATTTCCATCCTGCAAGCCGGCTCTTCTTCGCTTCTCTTCTTCTCTGAGGTCACACACACACACATTGACACACTACCCAACGGCAAAAAGTTCAAAGCTCGCCAAAAATAAAAAAATAAATAAAAGCCCACAAGGGTAGGCCAGCCAACACAAAAGCAACAACAACTGCAACTTCAGCCGCTCTCCCTCAGAAAACAAACAAAAGAAAAGCAAGAGACGATGCGAAACAAAACGGGACGACAAACACAAACAACAAAAAAAAACAAGAATGACTTCAAGCTTCAGCAAACAAAATATGAGGTGGTACTTAAAAAATTTTAATAAGGACACAAACATTTCTTTCAACCATTGCTGCCACAAGATACTTTTCCTTGGTTGCATTTTTAAATTGACTTTCGAGTAAAAGATACTGGTCATTCCGCTTTTCACCCATTTCCCCCATCCCATCACAGCTGCTAGATATCCGCATCTTCCCCCTTCTTTTACCAACTTCAAAGCTTTGGAACAGGAATTGTAATCGGGTGAATCGGAATCGGGAATCGGGGAATCGGAATCGACGGCGACTGCTCAATGCAAATTCCACAAACACACGCACACAAATCGGTCCCGTCTGTGTGGGTGTATTTTTTTTAGCACGTGTGGTTTGTGCACATGTTGCTGCTCCTCTCTTTCACTCGCTCGGGAAGAGAGAGGTGGCAAGTCGCTCTGTGGAAAGTAGCGAGTAAGAGAGAGTGGTTGTTTGGGAGACAAAGTGCCGCTAGGCGTGCACTCGTTCTCGTTCACCCACACAGGCACACTCTCTTCGCTGCTCTTTTTGTTTGTGGCCCAAAAAAACAATGCTATTTTAGGTTAGCATTTTGCTAACGCAGCAGATCGAACCCCCCCTCCCACCCATCCCCCCACCACTCTCTTCGCCGCCTGGTGAGAATTTCACAACATTTGTAACGTGTAATTAAGAGAGCGTTGTTTAGCATTTTTGCATTTGCGTGACACACAAAAAAGAATCAACACACCAGAGAACAGAACAACAGGCAGCAACAAATGTTTAATCAAGGTCAATAATCTGCGCGCACACACATTGAAAAATTGTTTAGTAAGCGCAATAACAGAGCCAAAACCAAAATCAGGTAGAAAACACGAATGCAAAAGGCAGAAACAACAACAAAGTGAGCAAGAAAGCGCATTGTAATTAAGCCCAAGCTTGCAAACCAGTTTAAGCTCATTGAGAGAGAAGAATTGCAAAAAGAGCGACTCTCTCTCTCTATTGTAGTCAGAGAGCAGCAGCACGTAATTATTGGCTCCAATTGTGGAGCACACGCACACAACGACCCCAACTCGCTCACGCACACACGCGTACAAATGACAGCTGTTTAAGGTAAAAATCGTATGGCATCGGAAATACAACAACAAACTTTAAGTACAATGACAACAAGTAGCGTGTGTAGAGTGTTTTTTATGGTGGGTAAGCAATGGATGGGAAGGGGGAGGGAGGTAAATAATGCTAGAATATATGGAAATTGGGGGTCTACTACTGGAATTCTCTAGCGTGTAGGCGTGTCTGCCGATGACGCCTGCTGTCCAAAATGTCCAAAAAATGTCCAACAAATGCCAACAGCAAGAAGGAAGACAAGCTAAATAGCCCAACAAAGTGGAATGTAAATTAGTTTACAGTGGGAGGTGGGAAACAAGTACATTAAATTGACAATTGTCACTTCAAAATCATCCATTTGTCTTAATAATTTAAATATAGAGGATTTTTTAAAATATTTAATTAAAATTTTAATTTAAAAATATATGTTTTTTAGCTTTTCAAATTATATAGTTTATAACCTTATCCTAAAACCTATCTATCTTATAGCAGTGGATTTCGATTTATCTTTGAGGTAAGTAAACTACCCATCTTAATCTACGACTTTAAAGTTTCGCATTTTAAAGATTGAAATTCCATTGACTAACGGCATTTTCATTTTCATGAAACCCCACTGTTTGCAGTTTTTGCCCCACTGTGCTGGCTGGCTGAGATTTGCGGCGTTGCCGTTTTCAAACCAGAGAAACAACAATGCGCTCTCTCTTCGCCGCTCTTCTCTTTCTTTATGAATTTCATTCACACGCACTCGCACGCACACACACTTTAACAAGATGGGGGACGACAGTTTTTTGCCACTTTTGTTGTTTATGGCCGAAATGGCTATAAAAAGAAAACGAAAATTCACCCAAAAGACGGAGACAAAGTAATGCCAATGCAATTAGTCAGTGTCCTTGTCATTAAAAAAAAAACATGCAAAAAACAAGGCGTTGCAACAATGACAAAGGCTAAAGATAAAATAAAAACAAAGCGATAATTTCATCAGCGGCAAAAGCGACGTGCATTCAACTCTCAATTCCAGACGGTAAAAAAGTGCGCGCCTAAATAAAACGAAGAAAAGGTTAGCGCAAACAGGCAGCAAAAGCTAACTGTAAAATCAGTGGGACACAATGACGTAGGCAGATAACGAAAGATACAGTCAAACTTCCGTATCTCGTGCCTCAGTCGGGCACTTCAAAAGAATCTGTATCTCAAAAAGCATCTACTAGATGGAAAGTTTTTAAATTTTTGTAAACCTGTTCGATTTTTCTTATTTTAGGGATATTATAGCATTTTGTATTATCCAATCTAAATAGTAAAAGCGTGTTTACACACTCTACTGACTTTTTCTAGTCAATAAAACTTATGGAAATTGATTAATAGACATTCTACTCAATTGAAATAATAATAGTCTAAATTATATTATATTTTTTAGTTGGAAGTATTTGTGGAAATTAATAGTTTTGAAATAACATTACAGATTAAAGACCTAATCCAACTTTTGCTATATTCTTTCTTTAAAATATCAGAAAAAAAAGCCCTGCAGATATCGGCGTTACGAATCTCGGGCAACCTGTGGTTAAGTTTAGTGGGTAATGGAATTGGCCACAGAAAAGCCGAAAATGAAATTCAAATTCTACGATGAACAATAATGTACGTAGTACGTAGTTAGTGGTCAGAGATAATGAGGCAATAACAAAAATATTGAATAAATAGTAGCCACACGCAATGGGCTGATAAGAAAGGAAAGAAATGGAGATAGGGTGCGATAGTAAGGGGGGCGAAAGAGAGAGCTTCTTTCGAAGGCCAGTGTGTATTGAACAACCCTCGAAAGAGCAAGAGAGAGGGACGTAGAGAAAGAGGGAGAACGCGAGAGCACCCTTCTTCTTCGTTTGCATAATTACCGGAGAGCGAGAGAGAGAAAGAGAGAGCGAGCGAAAAACATTGCAAATGACAGGTGACGTTTTAGCACTGCCTCCTTAGATACACGGGGAAAAATAACAGATTTTGGGCTTAAACTATATTTATTAAACTAGTTTATGGAATTGTACACTTTTCTCTAACTAATCTCAATTTAAACTCGAATTTAATATCCAGTTGTCTATTTAAACGAAAAGAAAAATTTACATTTTTATGACGACTCAATATCCAGTTGTTTTTTTTGTGTGTGAGTGGGAGGGAGATGGGAGACAACCGCCTACGATTGACGTTTTTTCTTAATTTTTTTTCTTTCTCTTTTCTGTTGCTGACGGTTAAAAACGACGCCATGTGAGTTGAGTGACGCCAAAGGAAAGTTAAAGGGAGAAGAGGGAGGGGAGAAGAGTGCGAAAACAGTAAGAGATGGAGAGAAACAAGGAGAGCAATAATAATAATAATAATCATCATCAACAGCCGCAATCGAAATGTATTTCGCGTGCTTCTCTGTTTGTTTGTTTGTGTGTCGCATTTGTTTTGGCTTTTCTCACACAGATACACCCACACACACAAACACAAACGTCAAAGAGATGGCGAAAATTTGTTGTTGCAATTGCATGCGATGGATGCGGCCTTGAAGCTTTATTAAATTCATCACCCAGTTGCCATGAGTGTGTGTGTGTGTGAGAATAAATGTGTGATTGTGTGTGTGGGAGTGAAAGAGAGAGGGAGAAAATATTACAATCGAACTTAAATATAACACTTTGCTTTTAAACTGTTTATCAACGTATAAGTTCCAGTAAACAAGTTAATTTGGATGTTTATTTTTATGAAGTGTTTATTTTAAGATACAACTGAATCTCTAGAGCAAAATGATTATTTTTGATAAGAAAATACAAGCGGGCAAACTCTTTGACAAATGTTGGATATAGTTTTTCAACAGTTATAGTTAACAAAATTTTCTTGTTTCTTAGTTTTATTCAAGCGGAACCAAGATTTAAGTAGAATTTGTGTTCTGATATTTGGGATGCGCTTTTGAAACTCCCTGATTTCTGTTTATAATTGGTCTTAATAAGTTTAACCACAAGTATCACATGTATTTTCGTTCCATAGATCTTTTTAGGGATAAAAACCTACCCGCTACTCGGAGCAGCTCGGCGTCGACCAGTTCATTGAGATCGGGCTCCTCGCCATACCAGAAGATCCACAGCTCCTTGGCGGCGGCCAGCGAAAGGGGCGGGTGGACCTTGGTCGAGGTGGCGATCTCGAAGGTTAAGGCATTCGGGTCGGCGTTGTCCGTCTTCGTGGATTGGACCCTCCTCCACACGCACAGCATGTCCGCCTGGATGCATCGCGAATAGGAGCGCAGGATCGGGTCCGCTAAAGGATCGCTCGATGCGTTCGGCCGCTCCCCGTTAACGAACTTCTTCCATTTTATTCCACATAAATCAGTCTGTAAGAGAGAGAGTTAATAGAGAATTAGTCATTAATGCGTATTTAAGCAGGTACTGGTAATGGGGACCAGACTTAATGCCAAATAGGTTCTGTAATACACTCAACTGATAACTACTTAGTACTACTACACTATCTTTATCTATAGGGAAGTAGTTCCTATCATTTGTTTACCCCGCCGTGACGAAAGTTCTATGTCTACACGATCTTTTTACAAATGACGTATAGGAAATAGCAAAGACTTGTTATTTCAGGTGTTGGAGGAAGAATCTCGAAAATAGTTTAAATAAACTTTACCAAAATAGTATTTTAATAAGATACTGAAATTTGATTTTAAATGTTTTACAAAGAATAAATCTAAAGATGTAATCCCAATCACTTTAAGTTCATTTTGTGTTTCTAAAAAAAAAATTACAAAATATTCCAAGCTAAATACTAAATATAATGATTTAATAAGAAATGCAATTAAAATAGATTTTATTGACCTATTAAATATACGATTAGATTCCATTATAAATACTATAGATAGAATGCTAGGTAAACTAAAGCTATTTCGCAATAATTCGCAATAGTTTGTGAAATTTTAACTGTCAAGTTTCTTACATTCATAAATTATTTTTAAATATAAAAATAAAGTCTACATCATCTTGTGACTCACTGAGATTTGGATTCTAAATAAAAGTTTATAGGATTTTGCATTAATGTCTACCGATGACGTTAGGTTGAATTACAAATATCTGATTTTTTTGTCACGATATTCGTACTGAATTTTAAGTGATGGAAAAATTAATCGATGAATGTTAAATTAGGATCTTTCATTTTCTCTGGAAAATTGCTCCTCAATTTTTGTATTTTGTAAAAACTTTTTCGCGTATAACCTTGTTTGGTATAGAGTTTCCGTTACTTTGAGGCAAAGCATTTTTCCTGAGTGCATTTCAATCTATGCAAAAACGATAATCATCTTGAATTGTTGCCCACTAATTTACCAGTGTTGCGAAATCTTGCGAATCGCACACAGACACATGTAAAAATACATTCCTCATTGCACTTGGCAGCAGCAACAACAGTAAAAACAACAAGCAAAGCATAAAAACGACCAAAGCGAAGCTCGAAAATCTTCCGCTGCCTCGCAACTCAAAACAAAAGCACGAAAAAAACGGCAAAGAGGGTGGAAACGGGGGAAAGGAGGAGCGGAAGAGGAGCTGCAGCAGAGACAAGAAAAACTTGGGGGCACCGAAGAAGAAACAAAAAACGAAAATGAGAGAGAAGCACGGAGAAAAAGAAGAATGAGTGACTGAACTGACTAACTGGGCTCGTTGGCTTTTTAGCTTTTTTAACCATTTGGGGTCGTCATTGGCGGCTTCCGTTGCAAAGTTGCGTTGGTTTCATACAACAGTTCCCAGGTTCACAAAAAAAAACAAGAAACTTCCACAGAAACTCGAAATTTCTACCTTAAAACGGCATTTCCATATGGGAAAACCAACGCACCTAAAATGTAAATATTATCGCTGTGTAGATAAACTCAGGAATTAAAACCGTAACCAAAACCTCAAACTTGAATAAGCTTTAGTAATTACATTAAAATTGTATCAAAGAGCTACTGAAACATAATTCCCATAACATTCTCCAACAACAAACAGAAAATCAAGTACTTAATTTCGAACTAAGTACAATTCTCAATCAACTGTTGTGAAAATAAAATCACTTGTGTACTTTAACATCTGAAAACTCTCCTCTAATTTGTACGGGCTTCGAGTCGGGGAAACTCGTCTTATAGAGGTTTTAGGATGGTAATAATTGTGGAAAATGGAAACAAGTTGCTGGTGTGGCAAGTGCCGAGTGAGAGCGCAAGCGAGCAATGCTAAATCAATGGGGCAAAGCGAGATGGGGCCAAAATAAATAACTGCACCTTCACGCACACACACACACACACAGGCGGGCGGGCGGTCGGTCGCTTACGCACACAAGCACACCCAAAGGTATTCCCCCAAACCGGCCATTCTCCCCAATTGTCAGGCCCTCTCTTTCTTCCACCGTCTTGTCTTGACGACAAAAATGTTCCACATTCTTCCGCTGCTTGGCTCTTCGTTTTTGCCATTTTTGTGTGTGTTTTCATTTTCGCTCTCATTTCGTCTCGCTGCTTTTTCTTCGTTTCGTATCGGTTTGGTTTGGCTTTTATTTTTGGGCGAGCAGCTATCTCGTAGGTTGATTTTTTCTATCTTTTATCTGCCCACTGTCTATCTTTCTCCCTCTCACTTTTTGCAATCCTTCAACGAGAGAGAGAGGGAGAGCGTATGTCCCTCTCTTGTGCTGTTATCATTCCGACATGCTTTTTGCTTGTGTTTGCATTTGTATTTGTTCACGCGCGCGTGCCTCTCAAGTTCAAACTGCTCACTCTCCGCTCCCGCTCGCCGTCTCGCTCTGTCGCCTTGCTCTCTCGCGCTCAGAGAAAGTTTGGCGCGTTTGTTATTGTTTCGTTATTTCGTTGGCGTCGGCCTCCCCACCTCCTTCTCTCCTCCTCCCCGCGGCTGCTCCAAACTCTCCCAGAGAGTTGTAAGCGGAGAGAGGGGAAAAGGGGACGGGGGAAGTGGAGCACGTTGACTTGTACGCATTGTCGTCGTCATCGCCTCTTCAGTTTGACTATTTCTTTCGGCTTTCCGTTTTCGGCTTCTGTGTCTCCTCTCATTTCTTCCATCTCCCCTTTTTGCCGTGAGATTCATTAAAGAAATATGCCAAAGAGGAGGAGGAGGAGAAGAGACAATAGCAACAATCACTAGCGGGGCCAACAAACTAGTCGCACGTAGTACCCAGTTTTCAGTCCTCAGTCTTCAGTCGCGGGTCTTGAGTTTTGTAGTCTCGACTTTTGAGGCTCGGGGAGAAGGAGAACCTGTTATGGGCCACAAAGTCACCGAGGCGCAGTCACAAAACCCACAAAGTCGCCAGGTTGCCACAAAGACACCCGTTTTCACAGCTACAGTAAACACTCGAAATCTATCACTCCAGATACTATAGGTTTTTATGGATACTGAATCTGAATACTTATACTCAATATTAGATCCGGCATATTAAGAATGCAAAAACACAATCATCTAACTTTAAGAAAGCTGAGAATACAAAAAGTATCTTAAATTATTTAAAGGATTTGTGCCTATTTTACTTGAGCCAGACAACCGGTTGTATTTCTACACATGGACAATTGACGAAGTATCTTTTACTTGTAATACTACCTACAATTAAGACTAGGCTTTACTTAATAATCGAAATAAAACCACTGTAGTTTTTAATACTTAATAAAATGTAAGAGACTTGAGTTTAAAAACCATTATATCTATAAGAATTTAAACGTTCATAAGAGAGCACGATCCTTATGAATTCAGGAATAATTAAATCCTATAAACTCATCTAAAACAAAAATAGAATAATCACAATGGAAATGTGAATTCCACTTCAAGAATTTGGGAATGAATTCCCTTCCCTATAAGAATGTAAATAATTAAATCCTAAATAATTAAAAACAAAAATTATGAAAATCAAAAATGAATATGTGAATCCCACTTCATCCCACTTTTGTGACTAGTGCATTAATTTATAAGGAAGTCCTTGTAGCACCAGAAAATATTAAAAAAAAAAAATAAATAAAAAAAAAAGGGAGTTAATACTCTGCCCTATAAAAATGTAATATAAACTATCGGGAACATACCAAGGTAAAATCTCTAATTTGTAAGTTTTAATGCCGTTTTGTATGACTTTAGTTATGAAAACTTTTTTCGGGTTCTTCGCGAAGCATCTGGAGCGATAACGATAAACAGCTGTCGCTGACCGGCGGCGTCTTCGTTTCGGCTGCCAATCGATAAGGCGGAGAGAGTGAGATGGCGAGCGAGAGATTGGATCCCATGATCGGTGGTTCAGTTTTGCCACTGTGTGGGTGACACACCCCCGCAAGCCAATAGCCCCCCTTGCTTGAAACACCCCCTCTGAATCCTCACTGACCTAGATCTTATAGTCGACAAAAAAAAACTCACTGCGACAATAAAAACAATTGCAAAAACATAAAAAAAACAACTACTCACCAAGGCATAAAAGTTTGTGTGGCAATCCTCCAAACTTGCGCCGTTTGTCTGATGATTTTGATGCGTCATAGTTCTTGGCTTGTTTTCTTCGCACAGCAGCAGCACCTCATTTTCTCAACGTTGTTGCTTAGAGTGTATTGCGATTATTGTTATTTATCCGTTGGGCTGTGTTGTTATTTGTTGTTGATTTGGATTTGGATACACTCAAGTATTTTGCACATTTGCTTATTTTTTTGGATTTTTATTTTTTATTATTGATTCTGCTGCACGCACACAGACACACAAAGGTATAGGCACGGAGGCACACGCGAGAGCGAGAGAGAGAGAGCGAGAGAGACGACACACACGGATACACAATTGAAGAGCTCCTCTCTTTCGTCTCGTCTCGTTTCTTTGCTTTCGATATTTTGTTGCTGTTGTTGTTGCTGAATTTTGTTTGTAATTTGCTATTTGATGTTTGGTTGTTTGGTTTTGATTTGATTTATTTATTTATTTATGTGTATTTTGTATTTATTTGCTCTCTGGCGAGAGGTTTTAAACGTAAACGTTGCTTTGGCAATGAAACACACATACTGTAGAATTATGCATGCTGCTGTTGTTGTTGGTTAAGCTGGAATATGAAAACTATTAGACTCAGTCACTCCTTTTGCGTTTTATCTTAATTTGTTTTTCATTTCGAAATAACTGCGTTTATAGTTAATTTTCTTATTGTTTTTTCCTTGCTTATTTGTTGCTACACTCATGCACACACACACACATTTACAACGGTTCGTTCATTCGCCGTTTCATTCATGCAAAAGAGAGGGCCGCCGAGAGAGAGAGAGCGACTCAGAAATTGACTTTTTTCATCCGCAGGCAGCGAGTATACACACACACACACGCACACATTTACTTCTAGAAACACACAAACGACGATGAAAGTCGTTGGATTTTTCGTTAATCGTTGATGTAGACAAAAAGTAAAATAGGTAAGAGTTTTTTGGCTGTATTCGGATTTAAAAACAGCTAATTTATGGTTTTTCGAAAAGAAAATTATACTTTTTAGAGCGCAAAAAGAGATGAGTAATAGGGCAGCACAAGCACACACACTAGCGGGCACTCGACACACGAAAAACCGAGAGTCAGCGGTTATTTTTATTATTTTCGAATAATAACAGTACTTTGAGATACATTTAAATTTAATCTATTACTCAGGCTTGTGTTTCTTGCGTTGTATTTTGTGTTTTTAGCGCACGAATGACGAGTCAGAAATTTTCGAACCGACTGCGAACGCTGGCCGCCACACACAATGGAAATTTTGCTCGCCTAGCTTTGAATCGGCCATCTATATGGTATATAGGCAGTTGTAGTTGTACCAGCGGCGAGTGGCGAGAGAGAGAGCGAGTGCGAGTAGCGGCCGAATAGCGGCTTTTGCTCTTTTTGCAGAGAGAGAGCGAGCGAGCGCGGAGTGTGAGAGAGGGAGAAAACAAGTTTTACCAGCTAACTGCATTTGCACTGGTGTGCGTGTGCGTGTGCATTAGTGGCGGCGTCTGTTTATCTCTCTCGCTCTTTGTGCATCTCTTGGGGATGCAACCTTTTCGAGCGAGAGACAGAGAGAGCGAGCACACAGATCGATTAAGGGAAAAATCAGAAACTAAAACAAAACTCGAAAGAAATCCGAAATTCCATAATTTATGCACTATACAACACTGCACAGACTCGCACTCGCACACAAACAAACAGACACTCTGTGCGAAACGTGATACATAGACAGGCAGCATTCCTCTCGCACGGCGCACACACAGCCAGACAAACATACACCTACATGGCAGAGCAACCACTTTCGTAGTTTTCCTTTCGCCCCGTCTTTTTCTCTGTTTCTGGGCAGTAATGTGTGTGTACACATCAGTTTTTCTGATTTTGACTTTCGGCCACTCGAAATAGCCAAAAAAAAAATGCCACCGATAACTAAAATCGCACAGTTGTTGCATATTCCTCCCTTTCACACTCTCCTCTTCGCCACCTCTTTCTCTCCTGCACACACACACACACTCACACGCACACAGCGTCGGGGCAGCGACCGCTAGAGCAATTAAAAGCTATTAAACATTTCCGCCTGCAATTGTTTAAACACGGCTTAAATGCCATTCAATCACTTTGCGCCACAATTACTTGTCGCACAACGGCACTTGTGCACTATTATTTATATTTAATTTGTTGCAGCTCTTCTTTCACACACACACACCCGCACAGCACATACACGCACACCTTCGGCCATCCGCTTTTGCATTTGCATTTTTCGATCATCCGTTTCACTCCTTATTTTCGGCGTTCTTTGGGATTTACCGATCTAGTTTTCGCTGGTTTTTTACATTTTGTGCCACTTTCTCTTTCGCATTCGCATTCGGAAAAATCTGCGATCGATTTTTATAACAATTCGCAATAGAGGTGGAGAAACATCGATGAAAACATCGATGTTTTAAAATTTTCTGGAAACATCGATGTTTTTTGCCACAATCGATGTTTTTGTCACATCACCAAAACGTAAGGGCAAACGTAAGTGTCAGTTACGTAAGTGTAAGTTATACGTAACATTAACTCAGAGAGGAGAGAGGGAGAGCTGCTTCTTCGATTTCAGGCGTTATGTTTTTTATCCGGCCCATCGATATGAGTATCGATACATTTCCAGTATTTCGAGGGCGGTCACATGCGAATGCTAGGAAGGTGCATCGGCTAAGTTAGCCGAGACACCCTACGGACATTTTAGTGTGGCCATATATCCATGGTATGCGTCTCGGATAGCCCGCGGACATTTTGGGGTGACCATTCCAACTTACCGGGATTTAGCGAATATTTTTGAAAATGGGCGCCAAAATGGCAGTCCGCGCCCCAAATGATAGGCAACACAAATTTAATCTATTGCAATCTCATTATAATTCCAATTCGTTAATTTATTTATTCATGCTTGAATAGCAAGAGGTTATTCTTTTCCCGGGTCTTTAAAGTTTAAACTCCATCATAATCATGATCCCACCCATTAATAAAACTCAGTACAACTTATTTTTTTTTGTAATGATTTCTTAAAAGAAAAGTGTCATGAGATTTTAGTGTAGAATAATTGAGTGTTAAAGAAATATACTCATGTGGCTATCAATTAAAATATGACTTTAATTTTTCCACATGTTGATAAGTGTTAAGAATAGTTCATTCAAATTTAGCATTAAATTCAATTCTCAGCAAATAAGTAAATATTTTTTTTAGGACACTAAAATAATTTGATATGCATAGGTGCTTTGGCATTTTGATATATTTTTAAAGTCGACTTGATATACAGACAGTTATAAGTTTTATTAGTGAATAATGGTGTTTAATCAAATAATTTACAAAGTTTTTTAAATTTTTATGAATGAACAATTTCCATCTGTTTCCCAAGGGCAAATATAGCACCGCCTGGATACTTTATCGTTCATCTTTTCCGAATTCTACTGGAACAGGGAACTGGTTATTCGAAAATATATCTGAAAGCATAGCGAACTTACCTCTCCATAAGCAGTTTTAGGGTGCTACGCTTAAGGATAAGCAGCATAAAAACGAGAATTCCCATACTGCTTTCAATGTAGAGGACCAAAACATAGACCTCCGCAAAAAAGCTGTAGTGCTGCAACAAAGAAAAAATATCCAAGATCCAAAACACGCCCATGATAACAGAGAGCCGCAAAAATATTAGATAACTGAGAAGGAAATTCGAAATGTGTATTAGACCGCTAACCAAATTCTGAAAAGGATATTTCTTACGTCTTAGTATCAAAATTGAAGCATTGTATAGTCCTCTCTTCATCTTGTTTGAACTTTCTCAGTTCGCTCTTAACTTTCCAAATGTGAATGACCGTAAGAATAAACATAATCACATTAAAAAGGGCTAGAATCATTTCTGGTCCCATAAAAAATATCCAATATGAGGGCCCCCGAGCTGTAGACGAAAGGAAATATATGTTTAGGCTTAGTACTCAACCCAACAAAAAGTCGTTCAAAACAAAAAACTTCATATGAAAAACAACCTCAAAAAATTTTGTTTCATATGAAGTTTTTGTTTTGGACGACTTTTTGTTGGGTTGAGTACTAGCCCTTAAGGCTTAGATGAATGTTTCTTCAATTCAAACCTTCCAGCCTGCATTTGTCATAACCAACTAAGGGCAACGAGTTCCATTTATGGAGATCCTCCTCCCAAATTAGATTCACTAAATACATAACTCCTGTTGAAATAGCAGCCATGCTCCAAGCGAAGGTACTGTAGGTAGCAAACGAAGAATCCTCACTTCTATTCGTCAATAATTTCCATAAATGGAAGCTAATGACAGAGAACCACAAAAAGTTGGCTATCATGAAGAAGTGTCTACTGTAACCTGACGAAAAACCACGAATGTTAGTAGTTTGTTCAATAAGGGGCTGTCCATGTATTGCGTAATCGCAACTTCGGTGATTTTTTGACTGGCGGAAAATATCCAATGCAATTGTGTTGAATAACCCAAATGGAATTGGGAATGTCCGAATCAATCTGGGGATATAGACAGAAACGTTCTTTTGGCCAGATTTCATTAGTGTAGTATATTTTTATGGATCCGTTCTAAAGAGCATTTATTAGAAACTTCTATCATGTTTTCAGGTTGCATGACATACATACCTTCAATATTACGTAATCATCCTCATTAAGTCTCAGCATCTCATCGCACTTTTCGAAATGATCCCTCAACCGGAAATACTTGGTAGTCCACCCTACGTTCTGGATTTGGTTTGAGTCCTCTAACGTAACGTCTGCCATTTTTAGAGTAATCTCTTTATTAAAGCCATCGTTACATTTTCCGTTTGCTAACATATTTTTGCGGGGGCAGCAGATTCGGACACAGGGATTCACTTTACAGACACAGGCTCTGAGGTGACTTTTCACAGGTTCTGTGGATCCATCTCTTAACATCCTATAATTATACTCAGCAGTAAGGTTAGAAGGAATTTCGAGGCCCTGATATATGTAAGTATCGTTGACTCTTTTCAAATCCGAAATATCAACGGTATCGAAGTAATCACAGTTGGGGATATCAGCCGTTGAATTCCTAACAGAAGTTAGAATTATAATTACAACGAAGAATTTAAAATGCAAATACATTTTTTATGTAAAAACTTTCAGCACGAAACACTTTTAGTCGACTGAGGGTTTGCCTGTAAAACTGAGCCCTTTATTCTTAGTCCCCAAAAATCAATCTCAACCATTGGCTTTCAAGGGCTTTGATAACAAGTAAATCTTATGGAATTTATCAAAAGCTCCCTTGGGACCCAACATAATCCAGCTGATATCCCGCATACGCCAATAATTCCCTTATCTTATTTAATCTTGAGGCTAGAAATGGGCGCCAAAAATGGGAGTTCAATTGGAGGAACAGTGTGACCATGTGGGGCGATTGGGAAAACACCAAAAAATCTGACAACATGGTCTCACTAAAATGTACGTCGGGTTAGCCGAGACGCGAACCGCGTGGTAGTGAGACCATGTTATCAGAACTTTTGGTGTTTTCGGAATCGCCTCACCTGGTCACACTGTTATTCCAATTGAACTCCCATTTTGGTGTGACCATATTCCCGTGGTTGGTGTCACCGCTAACCCTGCGTACATTTTAGGGAGACCATCAAGTGACATCGATATAAATATTTATTTTTTGTAAAAATATCGATATATTTTTCGCGTGCCTAGCAAAAACCTGTTACCGCTCAAGACCGCCGTGGTAAGCCACCCCCCCTCCCCCCTCGCAGTTCCATGACACTGAGTGGGGCAATAAAAACAAACAGAACGCTTGGCGGCCAACCGAGAGCGCAGCGACCAACTGTAAAAGTGGGCCGCCCGAGAAGAAGAAGCAGCGGCGGCGGCAGCAGCAGGTGACGCCGACTGCGACGCCAGCAGCGGCGGCGGACCTCGAAGATTTCACTTTTCGACGAACAATTCAACGGAGCGGAGCTAAAAACGCGATTTTCTCACCAGCAATTGCCAGTAATTGTGGTTTTCGTAGGCAAAACAAATAATAGGAGGCAACCATGTACCGCGCCAGTGGGTTAAGGATTATGCAACAGCTGCGACGAAGGATTCCCGCCGAGATTCAGGGATTCCAGGTTCCAGCCAAAGTTGCGCCTGCGCTGCAAACTTTCACTTTCCAGCAGCAGCAACAACAACAACAGCAACGCTGGACTTCGACGTCGACGGCCAGTGGAAAGCATTCCAGTGCACAGGTGACGACCCCGCCCCCGCGTCACGACTGGAACAGGGCGGTCAGCGAGGCGGAGCGGATCGTCGGCTATCCCACATCCTTCCTCAGCCTGCGCTGGCTGCTCAGCGACGAGATCGCCAATGTGGCGCTGCACCTGCGCAAACTGGTGGGCAGCGCCCATCCGCTGATGAAGACGGCCAAGTAGGTGATCCTAAAGTCCAGATTATGGCACTCTAAATTTTTAATTATATAGATTTTAAAGAAAATCCTTACTTTAATGAGATGTTAAAAAAAATTTAAAATAGTAAGGTTTTTAAGAAATTTTTGAAAAATGTAAATGTACCTATCCAAAAGGCCATATTATAGCACTCAACATTTTTAATTACCATGTAATTAAGTTAAGCATTTTAAGAAAATTCTTACTTTAATAAGATGTTAAAAAAAATAATTTCGAGATTAGTAAGGTTTATAAGAAATTTTTAAGTGACTTCTGTTAAGCCATGTAAATGGATTATTTATTACTCTAAAATATATTTTTCAATATTTGTTCCGCAAATTACAAAATTTATCAAATCTACAAAAATTAAAACAGATGTATCTGATATATCCTATCTACCTATCTATAAAAAATACCCTAAAACTTTAAAAATCTTTTAAAATGTTAGTAATGAGTTCTTCAGAAGAACTTTACAAGTTTTAATAAGTATGGCAAATATTAGTTTACATTAGTGACCCAGAACAAAGGAAAAATATCTTTTTAATAATTTCTAGATATGATATAATTACTAATCTTAATTTCCCCTTTCAGGCACCTGCTCTACAATGGCAAAAACACGATGCAAGCCTGGGGATTGATTGTGCTCCTGGTGTCCAAGGCCGCAGGACATGCTCCTAGCGTTCCGGATGTTGAGCAGGACAAGAGTGCCGGAGTGCTCCACTCACAAAGAGCTTTGGCCGAGGTCACCGAAATGATAAGGATCTCACATCTGGTGCACAATGTAAGTTGAATTTTTGATAGGGAATTTCATTCGAAAGTGACTCATAAACGTACAAAAAAGAAACCAATCTGCGTCTCTTTATGCAAATCAGTTGCACAGCTTACAAAGCTAACCGAGATTCCTATAACTTTCCATCAATTTATTTGACGGAGCTGTCGAAATTACCATAAATAAAGTTGTTGATGAGGTTTTTTAGTTTTTGAAGTTAAGTGAGGAAGAGCTAAAAACATTTTAGGAATGCTAGGAACCAGTAAGTTAAATTTAACCCTAACTTAACCGAAAGAATAAGTAATAAAGAGCTAAAATAATTTTAACGGCCGTTTTTTTGTCCGTTTGTTAAATTTAAAATAAGGTTAAAACCTTAAAAGCGTATGGAAAATCAGATTTTTAAGAATGCCAAGAACTAATAAATAATAATTAACCCTAACTTAACCGAAAGAATAGTTTATAATAGATTTCCATCTCCTTTTTAGAGCGTGGTCAACCTACAATCGAGCACCCAGGCTGGTCAGGATGGTGAAACCTACGACGACATGTCCTTCGGCAACAAGATCGGTCTTCTGACCGGCGACTACCTCCTGGGCCATTCCAGTGCCGAGTTGGCCAATCTACGCAACCAGGAGGTGGTGGAGCTGATTTCGTCGGCAGTGCGTGACTTTTCGGAATCGGAATTCATCGGGGAGCGCGATGAGCAGAATAATCCGCTGCCCTATAAGCCCGGAACTTTCCAGCGACCATCGCTTAGCGTGGGAGTGGATTTTAACGAGCACGATGTGATGACCCCCATGCCGATTGCCCAGGTTCTTGGCAATCCCGAGGAGGAATGGGAGTGCCGCAACATACTGAATGCCGGCAGTCTGCTGGGCAAATCCTGTCAAGCTTCGCTGAAGCTGGCCGGGCAGAGTGAGGAACTGCAGCGGCATGCGTACCGCTTTGGCAAGCACTTGGCGCTCGCTTGGCAGGCCTGTTTGGATGCCGAACCCTTCCAGTGTCCCCAGCTGCCGCTGGACGTTACTTTCAGTCTGGTTAGTGCTCCGGTTCTCTTCCATTTGGAGCACGATCCCGGGATGTATGGCCAACTGGAGGCTGGCAAGAAGTCGGTGGATAACATCGACTACGACAAGATCCACAAGGCCATTCTGGCGGGACCTGCGTTGGTTAAAACCAAGGAGCTGCAGCGAAAGCACACGGCTGCCGCCTTGGCTGTTCTTCAACATTTCCCCGCAACGGACGCTCGACAGGCGCTGGAGAACATCATTCTGGCCATGCAGGATCTCTGATCGCAATCGGCAATCGTTGATGATTTTACACCGGGTTCAGGGCTTAGTTTAGTTGTATTTATTCCACTGGGTCATTCTTCATTAAAGCGCAGACATTGTTGACTAATCTTAGATGGGAATGTTTTGAAATTATGCACTTTTTTAAAGACAAGGTTTTTGTACTTACTTTTGTAGGTTTTCCAATTACTTGGTGCAAGTACAAAAATTAAAATTAATAAACGTTTTTATAATCCCAAAACATTTATGATTTCTTAATGATAGGGATGTATATTGAAAGATGTAAGTTTTGAAAATTGTTGTTTATTTTCTAGTGATATCTCAACCTAAAGTGACAAAATTTAACTAAATTAGTGAGCTACACTAAGGTATCAATTGAATCTATTAGTTGTATTTATTCCACTGGGTCATTCTTCATTAAAGCGTAGACATTGTTGACTAATCTTAGATGGGAATGTTTTGAAATTATGCACTTCTTAAAGACAAGGTTTTTATACTTACTTTTGTAGGTTTTCCAATTACTTGGTGCAAGTACAAAAATTAACATTAATAAACGTTTTTATAATCCCAAAACGTTTATGATTTCTTAATTGTAGGAGATTAAAAGATGTATATTTCGAAAAAATGGGAATGTTTTTAATTTAGGCACTTTTTAAAGGCACGGTTTTTGTACTTACTTTTGTAAGTTTTCCAATTACTTGGTGCAAGTACAAAAATAAACATTATTAAAAATGTTTTTTTAAACCCAATAATTTCTTAATGATAGGGAAAATATATAAATTCTATAAGATTTTTCTAAATATTTATTTAATTCAATTAATATCTCAACCTAAGGTGACAAAATTTAACTAAATTAGTGAGGTACACTAAGGTATTAATTGTCTAACGACCTGTGATCTTGATCAGAATCAGTTGCTTGCAGCGATCGTACTCGAAATACTGGGGGAAATCCAGAGGCAAGTGCTCCATATTCCAGGGTTTATTCACCGTCTGCCGGATGAGGTATTCGTACATGGGAGCCACCGAATCGCAATCCTCCAAAGTGAACACATAGCGCTTCTCCAGGGCCATGTAAATGGTTTTGTGCCTGCGAGTTTGGCGACCTCGCTCCAGGAGATTATCCACCACCGAGATGAAGGCATCGGTTAGGCTGTCGGAATATATTACATCGGCAGCTAGTATTATATCGCTATTATCTATGGCTTCCACAAGATCCTGAGATTGGTCTTCTCTCGGGGCGAGGAAATCAAACTCCAGGACGGAGATTTTTCCACTGAGGAGCTGGGAATTCCTTTGCACATTGCCACGAATCAGCTTCAGTATGCAGCCCAGATCCACATCCGTGCAGTAGATCCTCCCAGGATTGTGTATACCCGCTGCTATGCTCGTTAGGCCCACGCCAGCGCCCAGTTCCATGAGGGTTTTCCCAGAGAACTCATCCTTCTTCGAGAATAGATAGTCCGCCAGGAGAAGGGCTCCGCGCCACACTTGCAGGCCCACCAAACGCAGTTCTGTGGCCTCGGAATGTTCCAATTCGATCACGCCACGTCGTGGCCTCGCCACCTCAAGGTCACCGTCTTTATCCGTCGTAATCCTCGCCAGCTTCGCCTCGGAATCCGGGTAGACGAACCGGAATCTGGACACCACTTTGCCGCCATCGCGTGTCGTCTGGTAATTGTTCTCGCCGTAGATCTCCGACGTGACCGTGAACATGATCGCGTGGGTTATGTATGCATCGGGCCAAGACCAAGAGCATATAGCGTATATATCTTTAATGTTGCGGTCGGCAGAGACATTTTCCCCGGGCGTCTTTGCACAGTGGTTTCAGATTCGGGTAATATTTGGGGTTTTATTTTGTTTAGTTGGTATTTATTTCGTATTTTATTTTAGTTTCTGTAATTATAATTATATTTTATAATATTTTATTCAAGTTAATTATTAATATTTTAATTTTGGATCATTATATTGAATATTTTTAATTAAACAACCTAATTTTTTACCTACAAGTAAATAAAATCAAATACATTTGTTTTCAAGTAAACATATTTTTAATATTTGCAATTAATATATTTTAATATTTTATTCAAGTTAATTATTAATCTATTTTATTATAAGTCGAATTCTTTAACATTTCTAATATTTAATAACTTTATTGAATATTTTTAAAAATTAAGCAACCTAATTTTTTACCAACAAGTGGATAAAATCAAATATATATTTTTTTCAAGTAAACAAATTTGTTATATTTGCAAATAATAATTATAATTATAATTTTTGTTCAAGCAATTCCACGATTAAAAGGGAAAGATTCTATATCTTATTTTAATATTTTTTTCTATTTCATTTTATTTTTAATAAGATTTATTTTCTATTTCATTTCATTTACAATAAGAATTATTTTCTGTTTTATTTAATTTTATTTAAGAATTAGTCCCACTGTGCCCGTCAGCTGTTGCAGTGTTGGTCAGCACGGGGCCAGTGTTGCAAAGTGCCATCGCCCATTTAGGCGTGCACCGTGAGGCAGACGAAACTTCATCCGAATTTAAAAAGCCATGGACATGGACGACGAGGACGATCCCATTGTGGAGGAGGTGAGTATGGCAGGGGCACCATCCGTAGCCCATTCATAAATCCCCCGCCAATCCCCCCCAGATACCCGTGTTCCTGTCGAAGAACCTGCAGGACAGCTTGTACCTCTTCCAATACCCCACGAAAACGGAGCTCCCCAACCACGACGACTCGGTGATAGTCAATTGCTGTGTAAAACCGATCGCCCAGGAGGTGAAGGTGGACTTTGGCCTGGACATCGAGTCCTCGCACTTCGATCGCTTCAAGGGCGAGCAGTTCGCGGTGGCCGCCGACGGCAAGAACACCTATGGAGCAGTGCCGCCAAAGGGACAGGAGCGACCCACCTACAAGCGGGGCATCATGGACAAACAGGCCTTCACCAGCTCCCGGTCCATAACCGATGTGGCCAAGTATATCGTGGGCATCTTTACGGACCGGGAGGTCCATCTATCGCCGCTTACTTCCATAGTCCAAATGCGTCCGGTGCTCAATCACTTTGATAAGGATGACAAGCGCAAGAAGGCGGAGCAGAAGGCCCAAACAGAGGACACCGACGACGACGAGGTGCTGCAACAGGTGACGGTCAAGTTTGCCCGTGGCAATGCCAAGAACAGCGGCAAGGAGCAGCGTGCCGGCACCTATGAGAGTTTCGTCCAGCGGATTGCCGATGAGCCGTGGTGCGAGGCCTACTGGCACTCGAGGGGCACGCCCACCGCCGAACTGGAGCGCCAGAAGCTCTACGCCACCAGTCATCAGGGCAGTTCGTCCCTGGCCCTCGGCCCAGGCGATTATCTCCGCAAGCTATTGCCCTACGACGAGCATGTGCAGCAGGTTGTGGCTCCAACAGCGGCTACAGCAGCCGCCCAGGTGCTTCCCGTCTACAACAAGGCCATGCTCAAGACTATGCCGCTGCTGGAGCAGCTTACAGTGCTTCTCAGGGATGCCCGGATGCTTTCCTTCAGCGATGTGATCGACATACTCACCGAGAACGTGGATCCGCATGTGGCCGCGGATAAGGTGGTGGCCCTGCTGCCCCAGGTGGGCATCCTACTGCACGGCAATTGGGTTCCCCGTTCCGAGGTGGTCTTTCCCGAGAAGATGCTTTCCCATGCCAACGGAGTCTCCGCCGAGCAGATGATTCGCGCCAGGGATTATATAGTAAGTTAAGGCGCTAGTAGAGATTAGAGCCCTGCATGAATGGATTCAATGAATTATTTTAATTTTTTTTAGTTTATTTGAATGAATTAATTGGAATTTTTAGTTTAATAGAATTTAATGAATTTAAATTTTTGAGTTTAATAGAATTGAATGAATTTGAATTTTAAGTTTAATAGAATTGAATGAATTTGAATTTTGAGTTTAATAGTATTGAATGAATGACAATTTCTTTTGAAGAAGAAAGGCCCATAATTTTGTGATTAAATCTGCCTGAATTTAATTTTCTAAGCAGTTAAAATTGATTTTTTAAACATTTTTCACTTCTTGTTTAAATTTGAATTTTGAGTTTAATAGAACTGAATGAATGAATGGCATGAATTCCGAAATAATTCAAACGACAATTTCTTTTGAAGGAGTTAGGCCCATAATATTGTGATTAAATCTGCCTGAATTTTATTTACTAAGCAGTTAACATTGATTTGTTAAAAATGTTCCACTTTTTGTTTGAAAAGAAAGCACAAAAAAATCTGGAAAATTCAAAAAATTCATAAAAATTATTCACTTATTCATTCAATTCGAAATGAATTAGAAAAATATTCAATTTATTTCATGGCATACTATGATAAAACAAAAATTGAATGATTCACGCAGGGCTCTACTAGAGATATCACCTACTAATGGCTTATATTTCTTCCCCGCAGCTCTTCCGGTTCTCCCGCACGCCCTACCTCTTCCGAACCCAGGTAATGGCCGCCACCCAGTTGCCACCTGCGGAAACGCTAGACGTTCTGCGGACTGTGGCCCGGGTGAATACCACAAAACGCTGGGAGCTGCTCCTTCCGCCGGACAAGGAGTTCGAGCAAAAGTATCCCGAGCTGGTGAGCCGACAGGAGTACCACTGGACCGCCTCGGAGCAGCACTACAACGAAATGGACTGGGCCAGGGAAACGAAGCGCGTGCGCAAGCGTTCCACGCGGAAAAGCGAATCCCAGTCACTGTCCACTTCCATGCCGCCGCCTGCTACGAATCCCTCAGCCATCCTCCCCATGGACGCGTAGCATCGGATGATCACCTCCCGACGGCGGAGGAGCAATGGGAGCACAAGTCTTATACATCTAGCCACTAATAAAGAAAAGACCAACAAGTTTATTTTGTTACCACAAGTGACTGTGTAATCAGATCTGTAATTTCATCAGCCAAAGAATTCCTATTGGTTTTGGTTACTGTGTAGAGTTTTGAGTTGGGCGCTTTCTTCAGCTGCTCCACCAAAGGCAAGTTGGATTTTTCGGGTACAGAGACCACTAATGGTCTGGTTTTCTTTAGGAGATCACTCACAGCCAACTCAAAACGCTTGCTAAACAGCTCCATTTTGCCCACTTCGTCGATGATTAGGAGTTTTGAATCCTGAATAGCCAAGAGTGGCAAAGCGAGATCCTCAAATTCCTGGACAAACACCGAGTACTTGCCCACTTTGGGGCGGCGCAGTTTGTCTCCTGGATTCTCGCGTGCCAGGATTCCTCGTTTTCCTGCCAGCGTCACCACATCGAAACCGATCCTTTGCTTATTTCCCTCTCCTCGCACTTCCTCTGTATAAAAACCCTGGAGGATGTGTCCTTTATCTTTAATACTGGAACAAACCTTGCAAATCAGCGTTGTTTTACCAACTCCTAAAAAAAAAATTCGTGATTTAAAAAAGGTTTAAGTTATGGCTTGATTATAATATCACCTGGTGGTCCTGTAATTATAATAGTCTTGAGAATCGAACTTTCCATGCCGGCTTATTTTTGGTGATATTATTATTAGAATGGTTTATAGTTTGAACTAGATCAACCAGGAATGGAGAAAAAGGGTTCACTTTTTAATTTATTTTTAATTTAGTTTAATTTTTTTTAAGTTTATAACTATTAAGAGGTAAAAAAATATAGATTCAGATAGTATTTAAAAGAAATTGCAAAGCTTATAGCTAAAAGGCTTTGTTATACTATTAACAAATAAATATAAATATTAGGCGGTTTTTGAAAAAGTTCATTTAAACACGCGGGTTAAATGGTATATTCGAAAATAGGAAGTGTGGTATATATTGGGTATTTGGCGAGCATGCAGCAGGGTAACACTGCCGGTATATTGCGGCGCCCCCAGAACGGTCATACTGTTTCCAAAACTAAAAACGAGAAGTGCGTCGTGTTTTTCGTCGCGCGTGAATTGAAAATCCGTGAAATTCCGTGAACTCGCGTTTCTCAGATCCAATTGTTGCTCATCATTGCCTTGTGTTAGTGCCGAGAAATATCCAAGAAGACCGGATAATCCGAATTTCAATCCCAATCCGTATCCAAGGGCATTTTGGCTCGCAGCAAGCTGCATTTTCAGTTCTTTATTGTGAGATTCAAAGTTGCCCTGCCTGTTTCCACCGCTGCTTTATCGCCCCCTCCTCCGCCTCCCCTCATTCGCGCGAGTGCGTGTGCGTGGCTGGCTATAATGTTTTGGCCATAAAGTAGAAGAAAAGTGCAACCGATCCTCGCTAAAAGTTATAAACAAAATGTCCGAGGCCGAGCTGAAGAATCTGTCGCAAAATTCGGATGGCGATCAGGAATTGCTGCTCCATCAGACCACCCAATCCCTTTTGATGGCCAGTTCCATGATGTTCGTGGAGAATCCCATGGGCGCCGCAGGAGCAGGAGGAGGGGGAGGGGTCGGCGTTGTAGGTGGACCCGTTTCCCTGCCCCTCACGATCGCCATGCCCCCCCATCAGCATCATCCCATGCCGATCCCCTACAATGTGGACGAGCTGCTCAGGGAGAACAATGCCCTGCACTCGAAAATCAAGGAGTTGAGCCTGGAACGCGATCGCCTGCTCTGCGAGGTCTCCAATCTGCGGCTCGAGCTGGATATGTCGGAGCTCAAGAGGTTGCCCATTGACCTCGACGAGAAGTAAGTTCCTAACTAAGATATTTATATTTATAATATTTGTTTATGCATATATAGGGATGTCTTAAGAGAATTCCATATATTCTTATTAGTCATATTGGTTGCAACAAGAATTCTTGCCTCGCTATGCATTTTTATTTCCACATACTTCAAATCCAATTAGGAAAATGAGATCACTTTATCGTTAAAAACCTTTTGTACAAGCATAAATAACGATCTTAAATAATGTTCTACTAGGTATTAATTAATTAGCGAAATATATTACCAATAGTTTTAATATATTTTGCATAAAATTTTAAATAAAATTCTTATAATTTTAAGTTTTGCCTAATGGGACAAAAAAATTCCACAAAGTGAAATTATCAGTGGCTGTAATCATCATTAATTTAATTTATATTTAGGGACAGCATACTTCGGTTTATGTATTTATTTTCTTGATAATGCAAATACGTACAAGTACTCAATCAGATCGCTTTTATTTTATATATTGGGTCTTAATCTTTTCCTTAGTTTTCTTATCAAGGCGGTATTTGGCTTTCAAGATTCATGTCAAGGCCCTATTAAATCTTATTTATATCAGCGTTTAATATTATTATTTTCTGTGTAATGTGTTATGAATACGTTTTTTTCTAGGCGCAGTTATAAAAATAACGTTGATTTCTTATTTGCCAATTTCTGATGAGCAAAAGATGCACCTTATTAGACATTATTTATTTTAAAAAAAGATATGTAAGATTATTTTAAAATTCAGCATTTTACAATCTGAAGAATCTTTAATGACCTTTGGTTTTTTTTTCGGTTGAGATCGCCATTTTTGGCTGCATTTCCTTAACCCCCAACCCCAATATTTCCTTGCCCCCGGGTGTTGCTGTTGACTCAACTTCTGGTTGAGTCACATTTTCGTCCCCTTGTCCTTGCCACCTTGGCAGCTGCAGGCTGACAAGTCCAAGACCGACTTACTGGTTTTTGCAACCCCTTTTTGCACTCCTTACTTTGCTACCTGTGGGCTAATCGACACAGTCGTGGTCGAAATATTGGCTGCGCAATAGGAATTTCCGTACATAAAAAGCACTCACGTTGCTTATCGGTCCTAGAACATTAGATAATGTTATATTTATTCTTTTGGCAAATTGAAAATGAGTCATGAGCTCTGTTAGAATTACAGTTGCTCTCCGCTTATCGATCGACCAGAAACGAACACAATTCTCTATTTGTTTAGCTCTATCGCTCTGTTTTCCCTAGCTGATAACAAATAGTGCTACTTCGGGCGATAAGAACAGTTTCATGGGAATTCAATGTTAAGACCAAAATTTCGATCACTTATTTTAGGGTCTTTCGGGGGAGATTAACCCGACAAATGCATAGGTAAATATGAGAAAAGAAATATTAATAACGATACGCCTGGCATTTGCCATTGACAACCGAATAAAGGTGGAAATATCTCAATATTCGTACCTGACTTTGTTTTGCATGCGGTCATGCCCCACCGCAGACAATCTGTAGAAAAAAAGATATATATATACCCAAAGTGGGCGCAAATAAAGCGCAGTTATCTTTAACCGTTTTCTTTATTTTCGGGGCTTCTTGGCCTCTAAGGTCTGCCAGTAGAATCGTGGGCTCTTCCAATTATTCGCTGTGCGTTTTCTGTTTATTTTTTTAGTTTCTTTTTTTTTGTTTTTGCGGGCAGCTCACCTTCGCCAAAAACATTCAAACATAAAACAACACAAAAACATTAATTTTTAAGCAGAGATCATCGAAATTATTAATACTCTTTCAGTATAAAGAATACCATAAAATAATTGAATTTTATGTTAATGCGCATATTAAAGGCTTATCAAATGATTAAACAGATAAAGTAAATTAAATATTGACTTTATGATATTAGATCCAAAAATATCTCCTAGCTACGTAATATTATATTTTATAACATTCGACTGGTACAAGAATCTATCGAAAAATACAATAAATCACTTAATAAAAACTCCAGGCATCCCATTATGTTCTGTTAATTTTTCCATAACAAAATTAATATTTCAAACAGAATTCCAAATATAAAGAAAGGTAAATAAATAGTGCCAAAATGATACAGTGAGGGATACAGGGTAGTTTAAATATCTATGAGGTAAATATGTCCACGGGTAATCTTTTTCTCCTTTTTATCACTATAATTTTTTACCTTTCAATTAGCATAACTAAATGTAATGTGCAAGTGCTTACCATGGCTTAGATCCACTCTCAGATAAATTGTACAAGATAAGCCGCACGCACTGAATTGGTATATCTTTCATTATGGGAAAGAGTATGTCACGATGAGACATAAAACTCAAGATCAGAGATGTTGTTGAAAATGTGCGGGCAGCTTTCTGACTTATGAGTAAGGTTCCACTGCTGATGGTTGTTGTTTTTCTCTGGGTAAACTTCTGCATTTGGTCACTCCGCACTCCAAACTACACAGAAAACAATTAATAGGAGTAGATTTATATTTATTTTTATAATTTAATAGTTGTAGTTTAAAAATCTTTAAGAAAATTGCGTTTGTAACGTGATTATTTTTATTAAATCAAATGGAGTTTTCTTCTTTTCTTTAGCTATGCTACAAAAGATGATCTTACAAAATCAAATGGAAAATAATAATATTTTTGAACAGTGCTGCCACAATGTCGTTGTTTGGCTTGCCGCAGAGTTCAGCTCATTAGCCAGTTATCATCATCTAATAAAGCAGACACACGCACCGCAGGAAAATGGAGAAAGGGGGAAAGGGGAAAAGGGGGGTGGAAAACACTTGCCCATTTGAAAAGTGTTTTTGCTGTTGCTCTGGGTTTCTTTGTGATAATTAAGCGAGTGTAGTGGAGAGTCTATTAATTTCGTACGCCCCTCTTTAAAATGGTCATGGCCGGCGTTTGCAGGGGGGGTCACGAGGGGGAGGATGGGATAACGTTTTCCGACTACTTAATGAGTGTGTACTGTATTCTGTGACTTTACTAGGCGAAGTAGTTCTCTGCCCTTCTTTTATTTCATTTGCATGCAACATTTGGACCGAAGATTGCGGTTGCCCCCCATTATAAAAGGGGCGTAGATGATGGGGGTTTGGTGGTCAAAATGGAAGCCATGCGTGCTGCAAATATCTTTGAGGTTTGAGAAGAAACTTTTGTTTTAATTAAAAGATATGCCAAATGGACATGCAAGTTGGGGGTTGGATGATCTAAATGCACCAGCAGATGGGAAAAACTTTTTTTATAGGGGGCGGAGTCGAAAACGAGATAATAGTTGCATAAATACCATGCTGATTTTCAAGTGACTCCCTTTGTGGTTCTTTGTTTTTATCACTAATCCAGATGGTTTTATAATTGCGGTTTTGGTCTTAAACTTTGAAACGTTTTCAATTATGATTCGCATAGATTTTTATCTCGTTTTTATTCTTGTGGTTTTTTAAGATTTATTGTGGTTTCTTTTTCTTGATTATTGTTTATTAATGCTCAAGAAATTTTCCATAGGTAGCTGCTGATTGTTGACGTTGTGGTTTATCCTACTTCCTTATTTTTTGTAGTTCCTAGAATTTAAACTTGACTTTTGTGAGAATCTGTTCCTTTTAAATTTATAATTTTGAAAAGTGCCTTGCGGTTTTCCATTTCCGTATTGGATCGTTTAATGGAAGTCATTTGCATAAAAATGCTTTTTAGTTTTTATCGAACTCTATTATTCAGACCTAACAAATATAATTTATTTAAATGAAATACGAAATATATATAATTCCCCCATAGTCGTGTCAATTATTATGACAAAGTACTTATCCATCACCAGTAATTTCTCTCAATTATTTCAGTTGAGGAAGTGCTTCGATACCATT